AATATTAGAAAAAATATTTTTGAGAGTAAAATATTAGATCTTAAGGATTTATCTGTGCATGAGGAAGCTAATGTTATGCGAAAAAAAGTAGCTAATGATATTAAAAATATTGCAAAAGATGTATTTAGAGTATTAAACGAAAAAACTCATAATAGTAAAAATAGTTGATGGTGAAATCAAAATGTGCAAAAAAAAGTAAAAAATAAGAAGATTTGTAATAAAAATTAATTTAGATGCAAAAATTTTGATAATTGAGAATGATATAAAGATATCTGTAAGTAGTATAAAAAAGCAAAATGTGATGCAAAGATTTTTAATAATTTATATAATAGATTAAATAATAAGGAGAGTGAAAGATATATGTATAAGTTAGTCAAATAAATAGATAAGAGTAGTAAAGATTTAGTTAAAGTGAAGTGTATTAAAGATGAATATTAGAAAATACTTTTATTAAAAGAGGATATTTAACAAAGATGAATGAGATATTTTTATGAACTCTTCAATGAAAATTATGAGAATGCAATTGAATTTAGTGACCTTAGCACTCTAAATGAAAATAAAGATATTTATTTTTATCAGCGTATTAGCAAAACCGAAGATAAAGAGGCTTTAAAGAAAATGAAATGTGAAAAATCTGTAGGACATGATGATATTCCAATAGAGGTGTAGAAATGCTTAGGAGGTGAAGGAATTTATTAGTTTACTAAACTTTTTAATATTATTTTGAAGACTAAAAATATGACAGATGAGTGGAGAATGAGTATGTTTATTCATATTTTTAAGAATAAAGACGATGCACGAGATTGTACGAATTATAAAGGAATTAAGTTAATGTGGCATACTTTAAAACTATAGCAGAGAGTTGTGGAGCATAGGTTGCGACGTGATTTTAACATTTCTCAAAATCAATTTGGATTCATGATGGGTAGATCTATTATAGAAGCTATACATTTATTTAGTGGTTTGATGGAAGCATAGATCGAGTAAGGAGAATATACATATGATATTTATTAATTTAGAGAAAGCATGTGATAAAGTTCCAAGAGAAGTGCTATGGAGAGTTCTAGAAAAAAAAAGGATTTAATAATGCTTATACTCAAGTTATTAAGGATATGTATGCAAGAGCTGTTACTTGTGTTCAAACACAAGATGGTTTGACCAAGTATTTTCCTATTTCAATTGAATTACATCAAGGATTAGCCTTAAACCCATATCTTTTTTGTTTTAGTCATGGATGTTCTCACTAGACATTTGCAAAAGGTTGTACCCTGGTGTATGGTTTTTACTGATGATATTCTTTCTTATTGATAAGACTAGAGAGGGAGTTGAAGGTAAATTTGAATTATGGAGGTTAACCTTAGAGTCTAAATACTTTTATTTGTATAGATCTAAAATTGAATATATGAAGTATAATTTTAGTAATAATAGTTCTAGTGGGGCGATTGCGACTGTGGGTGATCAAATCATTAATAAGAGTACACATTTTAGATATACCTTCAGTTTATTGTTCAGAGTGATGGTTGAATAGATGGAGATATTATTAGTAGAATTATAGTTGGATGGTTAAAGTGGAGGAATGCATCGGGTTTGTTGTGTGATAGAAAAGTCCCCCTCAAACTTAAGGGAAAATTCTATAAGATGGTGGTTAGACCTGCAATACCTTATAGTGCAAAATGTTTTCCCTTAAAAGAGAAGCCTAATATTAAGTTAAGTGTTGCAGGGATGAGGATTCTCAACATGAGTGGCTTTACTCTTAGAGACAAGATACAAAATTAGCATATATGTGAAAAGGTTGGAGTAGCTCTAGTGGAAGATAATATTTCAATCAAACATGAGCTAAAGTGGACTAGTCTTGGTGCAACTATATTTTCACACATTTGAACTCTAAGAATATTAGTAAAAACATTCATTTATATATTTCAAGAGTTTTTATCCCCTTAATCACCCACCAAACTACTCCCTAAAGCATCTAAAACCTAATTAGGGCTCTCAATCAAGAAAGGCTTCTTCATTAACCATTCTTGTTCAAACTCCAATTAAATTCTTAATAAATCTCCAAATAGTCTAGATAATAAATACTTCCCTTTACCCATCCCTTGCATTATAAATTCACTTTGTTTGAAAATTTTCAAAGTCCTAAGCCTAACTAGTTTATATCAAACTTACTTTGAGTGTTACAATCACTTATACCATTATGACTCCTTGGGATGACACCATCAAATCCAAAATTATGCCTTAAATATCCCTATAAGAATTCCAAGTGATCTATATAGAAAATTTTCAAAAAGCTCTGTCCATATTCCTCTCCAACTTTGAATACTACTTTTATGTGCAAGTAATTCTTTAACCTTCATTGACATAACTCTTCATAGCTTGATATGGTCTTTTACATGTCTCCTACAATGAACTTTCATTGATTATAGGATATACTTGTAGAGTTTCTAGTATATAATTGTAGACATATGAGATACCTTTTTAGTTTTTTCACAATGTGAGGTCAATTTTTTATAATAATGCTAAACTAATTATTTATCTATTTTAGTTATCCATTTCAATCACTCTATTGTTTAAGTCCAATTTTTAGTGGGCAATCCCATTTCAATTACGGCTTCAATTAAAACCCATCTTATTCTAATTTGGATTGGAGTCCTCCTTACCATCTTCTAAAAGGGATGGTTGGGCAATCCAACATTCCTTCCTTGAATAGGGTCCTTTTATGGACTTAATGGATATACAATAAGGGATAGAAATAAGTCATTTGGCGACAATTTGTGATGCCAATTTCTTAATTTTCTTTTTTAGTTTGTATCACCCATAGACTGAGTGTAGTAAAGAGTATGATGTATATTAGGATTACGATACCTATTTGATAGTGAAACCACACAAATTCAACACAGGAAGATTGTTATACATTTATGCTTTTTATTTAATGTCTTGATGCCATGTAATAAAGTTACTACACATCTTGGGTGACATACGCCTTTAAATGTAGTCCAAGTTGTGCTTGTTTTGTCTTAAATTATGAATATAAAGAGAAGTGAGATGTGATAGAGTATGACTATAAATCCATAATAAATTATTCTTTGTCATATTTGAGAAAGTAAATTATCGAAACTTAAGAGAGAGTATGAAGTCTTAGATTTTACAATCTTTGGTTGTGAAGTAGGTCTTAAGAGGGATATCTATGACCTAAGTCATGTAAAAGATGATTGTGGCATAGAAGAGATAATTGTGGCGTAGATCTTAAGGAACATGACTACAACCAAAGTCTTGAAAGAGACATTTGTGGTACAAGCGAAGGTTATAATGCAAGTCTTACAAGTGATAACGATAATGCAAACAAAGTTATGTCATAGGTTTTGTAAGAGATAGTTGTAATGCAAGAGAAAGTTGTGGTGAAGGTACTCACCAGAATTGTGCTATTCGGATGATATCTCTAAGGAATTAGATAATCTTCTTAAATTAAAAAAAAAACTTTTCTAATGAACTAAAGTTATGAGTTTATATGATTTTCATAAAGGAAATTATAGTCCTTACAACGAATATTCCTCTTTATTATTTGCAGAAGATGTTGAAGATCATGTACCCTCCAAGTCAAAATTTGATTGGATAACGACACCCTTAGATTGAACTAGTTGATATGTTGATCCAATCGAGACCATTATCAACAATTTATTGATTGCCGAACAAGATATATCTTATTGATAAAATCAACAACACGAACGTATCCTGGAGGATCCACCTTAAGCCCAGTAATGGCAATTGTCCCCCCCCCCCCTAAAAAAAAAATAAAAGTTTTTTATTATATGATTTTTTAGGTAATTTGTCATCCTCTATCTATTTTTTTGTCTTTATTATAAGAGTTTTTAAGCAATTGTCAACGCTAAAAGTTTTAAAATACTATGGTCTTTAGGCAATTTGTCCTAGCATAATTAAACACATTGTGTAGATGTGTTATTATTAGGGAACGATGAACCCAATACAAATATAAATAGTAAAGAGAATTCAAAAATATCCTTACAACCAAAATTTGTAAGGATATTTTATTAGGGAACAATTCCCCCAGGTTGAACCCCACTAGGGGGCTCTGTCCCTTTGGACCCCCGACATATCTGCGAAGTGTACAATGATCAAGGATATGAACAAAAAAAATCTCTACACTTTTACTTATAAGTTTGCCCCCCCCTGAAAGTTATGGTTGGCTCCGCTTCTATCCTGATGTTTTGGTTACTAGATTGAGAAGAATAAACACAAAAGTTTGTACTCTCTAAATTAGGGTTCACAATAATGGTGTTAATTCCAACCGTTTTCACATGTATAAACTTCTCTTCTTTAGAGGAACATTTTGCCTCAAATGGCTCATGAAATGATGCCTTATAAAATTTGTACTAATTTTGATAAGCACACACCTTTCATGATAATTTGCATAACAATAATGTACATTTGAGTGATTGAAGGTCATTGTATATTTCATCAGGCAATAAGTTTTGGGTGTTGATTTTTCATCCCTATGAAGTTCGTTGGTGACGAACTTCCAAATTTCCCCTTGCATACAATAGAGAGGCCGCCTGAGAATCTTTGTCTCACACCTTATTGATTATCCAAGATCATCTTGATTCACCTTTTTGACTATTCCAACCTTCGAATGTTTAAATTGAATAACTTTAATGCCTACAAATTCAGTATGATAAACAAGTTAATTTCTCTCAATTATCTAAAAATATATGTTTTACAATTATGAACCTTTATTTAATTATATATAAATTAGGTCTCATCAAAGCTCATTCCAAATCCCACTCAACATCTTTGATACCCTCTAAGTTCAATGAAGCATGCCATTATTCATATTTATGACAAAAAAAAAGCATTTAACTTTAAAATATAATTTTCATTCATGATCTAATAAAATTATACCTTTTTACCTAATTTATTTATTTTTATATTCATCTTTTTTTTTTCCAACCAAACGCTAACAAGGCAGTTCTCTGACGCCTCTTCCTTAGTCATATCAAGTCGTAGATCTTCCGGATTCGATTCTGTTTTCCCTTTCCGTCCGTTAATGGAACGAAACCAGCTTCCTCTAAAACAAATCTTTCATCTTTCATAGTCGCATGAAGATTGGCTTTCCTGTTCTACCTAAAGTAAGCTCTTTACCTACTTAAATATCGCTTTCGCCATCTCTGATCGCTCATCTCGAAGATGTCGAGCTCAGTGGTGTATTGGGCGAATGCTTGGAGCATGCCCATGACCGGTCTCCAGCGTGCCTCGCGCTTGGGGGGTTTATTGCCAGGCTGCAGGAGCTGGTGTTCATGTTCGTCTAGTAGGAAGATTCTTTGTGCCTCCACGGCGCTTCCAAGGAATTTGGGAGACGGGCTTGCTTCCTTAGAAAGCAACGTAAGAATCTCAAATTGGTGCTTTTATATTGCGAGCATCCTTTGTTTTACTGATTTTTGTGTAGCATTTGCTATTGCCCTCAAACCAGTTGTGGAATTTTGCTAAGAATGTTCTTTCTAGTCCAATTGGCAAATTGCGCTCAATTGAAGTTGCAGAAAATGCCTGCTAACTGTTAGTTAGGTTCAAACTATAGGGAGTAGAACACTGAGAAAACAATTCTTTGATTGTATCCCTACTTTATGTTCCGTGTCTCATGAAGACATGTTGAACCTACATGCGCTGATGAACTAGTTAATCTTTGATATCGCCTCAAAGACTCATTCAGCACAACCTCTATCTGGATGGCTTTGTGCTGAATATGATATTGTTGGATATGAACATTTGCAAGGAAAAATTACTAGTATGCTTTATACTTCAGGTGAAGTATTCCTTTTGAACTGAAACTAAAGTACTCCTTGAGTCCTATCGTGTTTCTCCGAACTTAAATATCCCAGCAGACATCTTCCTCTCTTTTGAGTCTCAGTTCCTTCTGTTTATTTTAGTACTCCATATCTTGATATGCATAAGATTAAAGATTCTTCAAGCGCTGACTTTTACTTCATTTAATATTCAATTCAATCATAAAAAATAATCTCCAACTGAACTGCATACGGTGGTATGCCGTCCAGCATTCGCTCCATTCGAACATTAAATCGCACGCCAAAATTTAGTATGCGACACCAATATTGGCGACGCACTATTCACCAACGCCAAAAAATTGGGTTTCGGCATTTGCCGAAAAAACGTGTGTAAGAGGAGAAAGATGGTTACCTTCATAGCAAGATGAAGAAGCGCGCGAAAGAGGAGAAAGAAATGGAGTTTGATTGGAGATGAATTACTGCATTTTAGAGTGGGAAATGGGTTTCCCTAAGACCATGTTCTTTTGGTTTTTCTTACATGAATTTGAGGATTTTTCCCATCATATTGTTATGCATTTCTTAGATGTTTCTAAGCTTTACTCTTATGTAACACTTCACCTATCTGCACTTGCCTAGCAACTTATTCTAAGGGGGTTTACTTTACAAATGTCTTTGAACCCTGCTTCTAAAGGCCTATAACTAGCATCAAACTTTTAGCAGCAGGTCAACCTCAATTTTGTTCCCTCTTTGCATAGCTCCTATTGAGCTTCACCATCTGTTAACTTCTCAAATTTCAGAACTTCATTGTCCTCATTATTGATAAATTCTATACAACTTTGAATTATCATTATCAAATTGATTAATTTTAACCACATCATAACAACAGCTATCATGTTTTTAGTTTCTGCAAGATTACTTGAACATTGCTCAGTTATCACGCTGCAATAATTCATGGAGGGTTAACTGTCGCCTTATCCTCACGAGGGCAATGTCAATGCCCTGGCTACAACTCCATCTTACATTGGGTTATGGTTTGTTTCATTTTTGGCTCATCTCCATGAAGAAAATTAATTTTAGTTATTTCTTTTTGGAGGCATTTTCCCCCTTTATAATGTCCAAATGATTTTGAGAATAAATGTTCTTTTAAAGAAGGTGCATATAACTTTTGTATTTATGCACATTAATTTTTTTTTTCAAATTAAAATAATGATTACAGATATAGACGTGATAATTAAACATAAAAGCAGTCACATATTTCCAAAATTCTTTATTACTTACCCCATATTTCTTCAAATAGTCGCTGCATTGCTATTTTTTCTTTAAAAAGCTAGTACATTAATTTAACATAAATATGTACATAAACCATGTTTGCATGTGGGGTGTAAGCATGTACTAATTGTTTGACAATTATTGGACGTAGTGGTTCATATATGCACGCTTAGATTTATGTAAATGAATTGTAGAAGGTAAGTGCACGGTGGTACAACACGATTATAGTCCACTTCTTCTTGGATTCGAAGCAACTTAGCACAATTTTCTTTCTGATCTGGAATTAATTTTTCTATGCTAAAATCTTGTTATTGAACACATTTGCATGCAGTAGTAATAACTGATTGCTTCATGCTAGGTTTATCTGCACTGCAATGCTATTTCCTAGCAAGAGAACTATAGGCTTGCATCCAAGTTTGCTATTCCCATTTTATACGCAATTTCAAAGAATAGTGAAGACTATTACCTTTTTATTATTTAAGTTTTACTTCAGTGGGAATTTCTTTGCTTAATTTAAGGCTTTGTTAGATGGTTATAATATACGATCTTGTTTTAACAGAACTAAGCATAATGAATCTGTTATATCTTTTGTTTCAATTGATTCCTTTTAGATGATTTCATTCTCTTTAGCTTTGGCTGCTTGGACATCGGTAGATACTTTGCTCTTCTTTTATTTGTATTATTATACATTGCTTCTGGTTGTATTTTAGTGGTTGATTTAGTAAATTGAGATAAATAGATCACTGGTTCTCGTAGTATTAGTGAGTTTAATGATTATGATAGTTTGATGGTTAATTGCACTTCATTCTTTTTTAAATATTAACTATCACTTTTCTTGTCTCTCTCTCTCTCGCTCCCTATCTTTCTCTCCATCTCTCTCCCTTTTTAACTTGTAATCAAACTCCAGTTTTGCATAAATAAGTAAAAACAATTTCTATTTTTAATAATAAGTATTCGATCTAATTATACAGCTCTTGTAATTTTTCTCAGTCTTTAGGCATCATGACATCATGCAGTTTTTTCTAACTTTGAAGCAAGTGGTAAATAATATTAAAGGTTTCATTGTCTATTATTTTGATACATATCTAGTCTTATATTCATTCAGTAGTGCTAGTACGTAGAATTTTTGTTAAAGCCTCTGTGTTTGGGATTTAAAACTGTCATTATGGGAATTAGAAACAAATGGAGTTCAGGTCTGTAACACTGTTGCTTCACATTGAACTTAGGATAACTTTGAAGATTGGAGATTCATTCATATTTTAAGAAGCTCTTGTGGCATAGGTTCAATAAAACTTTTCAAGTAATAACATTTGTTATCTAACTTAAGTTATTTTTTGCTTCATGGCTTTAACTTTGGATTGCACAAAATGTTTATAAAATACTTTTTAGATCCATAATGTATTCTGAGAATGTGTTATTCATGTTTTCAGAGCTCCAATGTTGGTGAGAATTCATTGGAAGGTACACATGTCAATGATGAAACCAACATTCTAATTGAGTGCAAAGATGTCCACAAATCCTTTGGAGAGAAGCAAATATTAAGAGGTTTGAGCTTCAAGGTGATACTTTTTTTAGTACTGATTTGTTATATTTTAGCAGTAGTTTTCTTTGACATTTAATGTTGAAATAAAGATAATATAAGTTGAATGTAGAGGGAAAAATTAGAATTGTAAGGTGCACTTAGACAAGGAAAATAGTTTGTTGCCCTTTTCTATATAATTTTTTTAAATAGCTAAAGCACTTGAATCATCCACTAAAAAAAGATTATATCAAGTGCTTTTGCTACGAAAACAAGTCTTTATCCCACTATGTGGGGTTGGCCAATCCTTTTTTCTCCATTTGACTCTTATAGGACAATGGAGAAAAATAATTCATGTAGCTATCCCTTACGTAGTGGGATAAAGGCTTGTCATTGTTATTGTAGTAGTAGCTAAAGCACTTGAGTATACTTTTTTTAGCGGATGCTTCACAAATGACTAAATGACTTTACGAATAGATGAAATTGAATCAATAAGTACATTTCATGCTTCATGAAAAGCAGTTCTTCTTTTCCTAATAGATCATAGATGACACCAGATAATGCTCTTCTAGTGACAAAATGGCCTTGACCTACTATTATATCTTTATTAGGAGTTTTATGGCAATATAGTAATAGAAGTCTGTGAAAGAATTTTTACGGATAGCAGAATCTTTAATTTGATTGATACAAAAGACAATTCTATTTAAGTTAACTTTTAATGTGATGAATGTTTTTAGAAATTGAAGAATTATTTTAGTTTCTATTCCTATATTAGCAATTCCTTCTGAAATGGAGGTTTTTCATATTTTTAGTGTTGCTTTACAGAGGACTGAGTTATGCATTGATGCAACATAGTAACATGATATATCTATAGACAATTGAAACCAGATAAGAAGAATTATCAAATATATTAATTAGATTTCCGTGTTGTTATATTTGCATTGAAGATATGAAAACATTATTTATAAAGAATTTGATGTGACATGTGCACATATTATCAATGTCCAAAGTACTTCTTTACTAAAAAAGAATTGTATTTGAGACATAGGAGATGGTTAGAGTTGACTAAGGATTATGATTTGAGTGTTCAATATCAACGTGGTAGAGCTAATGTGATTGGCTAATGCATTGAGCAAAAAATCAGTTGGTTATGCAAGATAGATGAATAAATGGACAATGGAGATGTGAAAGTTAGATTTTGAAGTGATGAGATAAAATAATAAGTATGTAAGGTAGTAGAATTAGATCATTGTGAGACCTTTTTTATAGGAGAGAATTTAGGAAGTCACTTGTGCAGAGTACCCAAATAGTTCGATCAATCACTTGGTTGAAAATAGTTCAAACATCCACCCAAGAAACACTTCTGATTGGATACCCAAAGGACATCTGTGAAGGAAACCCCCTAAATATGCTTCTAAATAGTTTTGGGCCATGATCTTTTCACCTTGCTTTAAACACTTCACCCTCCATAAATAAAAAACTAAGAATTAATATGCCAAAAACTGGACAAGACAATAAGAGAACACAAAGAGCACCTCGTAGAGGTCTAAACATTCTTTATTACTCTAATAGGATAGTCCATACATGCGCTACTGGTAACTCTCTAGATTATTCTGAGTGTTGCTTAAGGTATTGCACTATTTTTCATTTATTCTTGCTGAGTATTGCATAAAGTGTCGCCCTATTCAATCTTTTTGCATTCTTCTATTCATTATATCATTGATCTATCTTTTTTTTTTACCTACGCTTTTTGCACTAGTTCTATCTTCTTGTCTATATCTTTTACCTTTCATTGGATATGTCTAGATCACCTAAATTTATTTTCTACAACTGTCTTTCATTGGAGCTACTTCAATTCTCTTATATAATCCTTCTTAAATTTATTCTTTCTAATATTTTCAAAGATGAGGCTAAACACTCTTATTTCTGCTACACTAAACTTGGATATTAATGACTCTTTAATTGTCTCACACTCAGATCAATAAAACATAGCTGGGCTAATCACATTTTCATAGAATTTACTTGTAATTCTTTATGATATTTTTCTCATTGCATGGTACTCTTGGGCATTTCTCTGTTTTGCCATCCAAATTTTATAAGTTATATCCTCATTTATATCTCAATTCTTTCGTATAATATATCCGAGAGATACTTGAGCCTTTTACATATCAAAATTACTTAATCTACTAGAAATATTAACTCATGATTTTATTTCCAAACCCATTGAAGTTGCATCTCAAATATTTATTTTTTGTTCTAAGTCTAGGTCCCTTCTATTTTAAACATCTCACACATTGTTTTAATGTTCCACTCCATAGAGTTTTTTATTACTAGAGTTATATTATTTGCAAATAGTAAAATTTAACCCTTATTTTAAATATCCTTTTAAGCATATCTATAACCAATTAAAAAAGATTCTGATTTAATGTCAATACTTGATGTAATCATTATATGTTTAGGAATTCTTTGATCACTCCACATCGACTTCTTTAATATACATTTTTTTTAAAATTTCGTCACATCCTTGGCACTCATTATTTTCTTACACAATACAAAACAAATCAAACCGCATAGTACTTGATCGCATGCCTACTCAAGATTAATAAATAACATATTTTCTTTTTTGTAGCTTTAAGCTTTTTAATTAATAGCCTTAGCATCAAAAATTGCTTTAATGGTCTATTTTATCAACATAGGATCAAATAGATTCTCTAATACCAATGTATTTTTTAAGATTATGCCATTGCTCTCAGATAAATTTATTTTATGAATATGTTTGATTAACTTGTATAACTCCGTGCATCTCCTTTGTTATGATATAAAAATATTCATTCTCAAATTATTTGACATCATTGAATATTTATGATTTTATTGAATATAACTATTAACCAAACTAGTTTATTATCTTCCATAACTCTCTAAATCTCAAAAGGTTTTTGTCTTAATGCTTTATTTTTGGATTAATCTAAATTACAGTTTCTAGTTCTATTCTTTTTATTCTTCTAATAAAATTTTTCCCTCGGAACTCTCATTTAATAATGTTTCAAATAATATTTTCTTTTTTTGGTGATGTTTTCATCTTTAATTACGATCCTATTAACTTTGCTTCTAATACATCTAATTTGATCAATTTCTCTAGACCTCTCAGCTATTTTTTTAACTTGTTTACATATTTCTTGTTTTCCTTCCTTTAACTATTTGTCATATGAATCGTCAATTTTTATAGCTTTCGGTTTTCTTACTATAATCTTTGCAAGACCTCTCTACCACTAGCAAATTTTAAATTTGGATTCATTGCATGATTTCTTTCTTAAGTTTTATGATTACTTGTTGACCTCACGTTAGCATTTAACCTTTCTCATCAGGACTAATAACCAACAATGACAATTTTGATGTTGGAATATATCTTAAACATAAACTTGATTATGAAATTATTTTTTGTTTAGCTTGTTAGACTATTTTGTGTAGGGAAGTTCATAGCAAATAAATCATGACTATGCCACAAATTTGGAAAAGGTCCATTAGCATTTGCTATTTATTTCTTCATCCTATGTTAATTTGGTGGGGTTATAGTCCTGGTTATTTGCAAAATGAAGCGTGAAGTCTTAAGTTATGCATGACTATTTTACTATTTACTTTTATGCTCAGATTAGACATGGTGAAGCTGTGGGAATTATTGGTCCTTCTGGAACTGGCAAGTCTACGGTGCTCAAGATTATGGCTGGACTGCTAGCTCCAGACAGGGTATTAATCATAAATAGTGCTGTCTGCTTTTAAAAAGCTCTATTATTTTGCCATGATATGCTCTTCTTTTTTGTTGCAAGGTTCAATCCTTCAATCTAGTATGACCTCCACTCTGATGATCAAATACAATATCATCAACCAATTGGTTGGTGGTTGCTTTTACATCTTTTGATTTTACTGTTCTGATAATCTCTTTTATATTTGCTACTTGTTCATTTTCCAGGGGGAAGTTCTCATATGTGGAAGGAAAAGACATGGATTAGTTGATGATGAGGAGATAGCAGGTCTTCGAATTGGTTTGGTATGATATATCTTAACTGATATGCAATTATAATGTCTCTTTTTTATGCTCTTGCATTGTCACATGCATCCATAATACCTAACCCTCTACCTCCACACCTTGAAACTTATACTGAGGTCTATACAATAAGTGTGGGCTCCGAAATTTCGGCCCCGGCCTCTGCCCGACTGTGCTTTTTTGCTTCGAGGGAGGAGTTTTAACGGATTAAGTTCCGGGATAAATTTTGGGAAGACAGATGGGTTTGTAGATAAGACACTACCCAGAGATTTCACCCTCATTTTGTGAGGACTTTATGATCTGAGTTATGGTTTCCTTAGGTGCAAGCCCCTATAGTTAATTACCCCTCCCAATCATGAGAGAGAACTTTCGATTAAGGCTAGTCGTTGATCAGATACGTAGAAGATACTTAGTATCTGGCATATAGTAGCAGCATAGATATAAGTATTTGGAAATGGTTGAGATATTCGAAAAGTTTGATATTTAAAATTGAAATTTTCATCATTTTACACTTAAAGCGGATGGTGGGGGAATGGATGATGAACCCGATCAAGATCCCATGGTTCCATAGTCCTGGGCCATCGTGATCCCTGGTCTACTTAGTCAGAGGAGGTAGTCGACCCAATTTGACAGAAGGATTATTGTCGACAGCCATGGGTTGCTTCGTCCAAGGGGACCTTGTAGACATGGGGTTAATGTTTGTCTAAGGGGACAAATTTGAATCCACCTTAACTAACAGAGGGCTTTGTGCCCTATCGATCATATCGTATTGATTCATATCTTAAGGATTTGATGTCACTAAGGAGCGTATTGGCTCTGGTCATAATCGATATTTCGTTGTGTCATTTGACAGCAAAACCACTCGGTTCAGAGGGTCCCGGGTCATAACTGTTTATCCTGCAGTCCTATTTGGTGGCAAAACCACCGGTTAGAGGACACGCACCACGTCCTTACTGGCAGAAATTTATTTGAGAATAGATCATAGTGATATATTCGACTAGTCATTAGCTTTTTGTGAGCTGAAGTATATTTCAATTTGTCCACTCTGACAAACTATTGATAAGATTATTTAGATTATTGAGGATTTGATGCCACTAAGGAGCGTTTAAAATTGCGTAATATGAGGCTCGCCTTGAGGCCCGCCTTTGCTCAATTCCAATAAAAAACGCCTCGATGCTTATGCCTTGAGTTTTTTTTTTATGACGCTTGCACCTCAACTTGGTTGAGGCCCGCCTCGCCTCACTGGCATGAGGCTTATGCCTCCCGTTATATATATTAAAACTTACATAAATCTTGAAGTAAATGCCCAACATTGGACTCTATAGGAGAGGAGAAAGGGGAGAGAGCAGTTCACCATAATGATGATTCAAATGAAGAACCCCATAGTGATGACAGTGTTGATGACTTATGAGTTCTTATGTGATATGTCATTGCTATTTATTTTTGGAAATCGGAATTATATGCTAATGAAAAGAATAATGGGATTTCTGAAAGATAGAATTATGAGCTGAACTATATTTCATATTGTCATATTATTGAGATATTTTGATTTCACTTCATATCTTATACTATTTTATGTTTTATGTTATTCACTCATTAGCATATAACAAATTTATCATTTTATGTTTACGCAATCTTGTGATTTTGAGGCTTACGCCTCACCTCATGAATGAAAAACGCCTCAATACCCGAATACGCAATTTTAAACATTGGACAGAGAATTGGGTTTCGTAGGCTTTATACATTTGTTTGTGAATTCTCTTTATTGAAAGCCTAATATGAATGTATAAAAGAAATATCCCGGTCAACCTCACGACCGGATACTTATTTAAGGTTCGAGCCTTATCAACTCCCATTTGCCTGCATAGGAGGATCGGGCTTGAACTTGAATTCATATATTGACCTGTGCAGTATCCCTAGACGTCACATGTGTTTCTATAACATACTCGTCTGGGCCCATACGGGTATTTGGGGGTATTTTGTAATTATTTGTTGAACCATGTCGACTCCTATTTACCTGCTTAGGAGGATCAGATTCAAACTTATTGGCCCGTACAGCATCCCTAGACGTCACATGTGTTTCTACAACATGCTTGCCGAGGCCCATGTGGGTGTTTTATACATTTACCATTTCGTGTACCGTGCATACAAACTACGGTGCATATGCGAGAATATTTTTGGATATTTAGCAGATATACTACAGGTCTCCTATGATAGCTTGTAGGAGCCTGTGTTTGTCGTAATCCTTCTATATTTTCCCGTAGATGGTGTGCACGACCATCTTTCATCAAGAAGCTTGTAATCCTCAATAATCTTATCCAACTCAATGTTCAGAACCTGATTGAAATGAGATTCATTCAATTCATAATGATTTGATTTAGCTTTCTCTTCTTAGAACTCGTATAGGAATTGGTAGGTGATTTTTTTTATTATGCCATCATCGTTGTTGGCTTAAATAAAGAATCAATCATTTCAACTTTGGATGATTGCATCCTTACTGTTGCCCTATACTTTGAAGTTGGTGATTGTTGCATTCAAAATGAATAGAGGTATCCGGGCCAACTTGTCATTTTCAATGTTCGTGGATGTTTAAACTGCTTTCTCCCCTAAGTATAGAATCAAGGAAGAAATTTTGGAACACAAGGAAGTTTAGTTCGAATTTGTTCAAACATCTCTTCCCTTCTAACAAGAGTTGCCCTTCTTCGTACATCGAGTTGTCTTCATTCCCGACGTACTCGTAGTATCTAAATCACCGTTGTTGTAGTTGCTATCTATACTTGTGGCCATAATGGTTCATTGTACTTATAGTATAGCCATTATTGTTATCCACAAGTGCATTGTATGATCTGTCCTTGCTCACAAGGAATGATTATGTTTCTTATAATCTCCCGGACATACCTGTAGAAGGGCATATTGTACTTGAATCATATCCACCTTTCACCAATCTTAGGTGGTCATTGATTGTACTACTACTTGGTAATAGGGATTGATTGTATTCAGTACGATCTCTTGGAAGTGTTCGTACAAGAGCCATTTGTACTTATATAATATCCACATTTCATCAATCTCAGGTGATCATTGATTGTACTTATTTGTGAGCATGGGTCTTTCACTATCAATTGCCCGTGTTTCTATCTCAATCTACAGGCAAACTTGTAAGGATTGTTGTAGGAGTCCACTGTATCTATCAACATCATTTGTTGTGTATCATATATTCAGGTATAGATGATTATCCTCGTTTGTAGTAACTCATTTTGATAATCATTTATTATCTGTATGCCTTGGAGTCTTTATTCATCAATTGCCAATGTAATCCTCTCAATCTACAGGGTAGTTGTTGTTTGCGTGGTGGGTCTTTGATTGTTGCATGTGGGTAGTACTCGTGCACTTTGCAACTGTCTGTTGCTACTAACAAGTATAGTACATTGACTTTGTAAAGACTGTTGTAGGAGTCCACTACGTACATAATGTATCAACCCGCAACATTCCTTGTATGCAGTGTATTCAGGCATTGATGGTTGATATTTGTTTTGCAATTGCTATGATATTGCAAGCTAATTATCATTCATTTCTTCTTTAATCCACGGGCCGATTTGTTGCTTGCTCAACATGTCTTTGATTGTTGTATATGGGTGGTACTTATGCATTTTGTAGTGAATTGATGCCGCTTATAAGTCAATCACATCTGAAAGTTCTCCATCAGGAGTCCTCTGCTTGTTTGATTGTATTTGTTTGAATGAGTTAAATTATTATTTGGCATTTGATCTTTGATCTTGATTGCACATTTTAGGATTTGGTATTCTATTTCTTATAGTTCAGTTCAAGTCCAAGTCCCCTATTGTTCATACGAGTCCTCTGCACATTTAGTTCAAGTTCTATGTATTCATGTCCAAGTACGGGTCCTCTGTATTGTTGCCTAAGTGAGGTCTTCTTATTGTTCAAGCTTTATGTACTTCAGTGAAAATTTCGGCTGCACTTCGGCATATCCCCCGTTTGGGAAAAATGTAGGGGAACTGGGCCTTCCCGCCACGCTACTCGAGCGTGTATGATAGGTGTCCTTAGAAATCGCGGCCGTACATCTTTTCATGTCATCACGCTACAAGAGCGTGTATGGGCCCTTCAACGGTACCCGTACAAGAACATCAGTGACTTCCCTACCACGCTATAAGAGCGTGTATAGGGCTTACCCATCTCCCCGCATGCATCGCACCGGGCTCCCTCCTACCGCGCTACGAGAGCACGTATAAGTTGTTCTCCGGTCCGCCACAAACGTCGAAAGTGGGATATGAAATATTTTATCTTTCGTAGCAGTGTCGGCGGTGTTGATGTCGAGGTCGAGGACAGTCCCCACCACGCTACAAGAGCATGTATAGGGCTTATCCGCCTCGTTGCACCTGTCGCACCGGATTCCCCCCATCGTGCTACAAGAGCGCGTATAGGGGGTCCATCGGCGCGTCAAACACATCGAGGGTGGGATTTAGAACTTTATATAGAAGCGTGCGAAGGGAGAAAGTTAACTTCGGCTCAAAATGTCGTGACTCCCGATCCCGCAGGAAGGAATGTCGTCGGGGGAGCAACGCCGAAGAAGCGCGCAAGGGAGAAAGTTAACTTCACAGTGAGCTCCCGTGGTCGCTTCCAATCAAGATGTTGAACTTCCAACCCGACTGGATGGGACGGTCGCTGGAGGATCGAAGTCGAACGACAACAAAGGAGCTGGAGAAGCGGCGTGAGAGATCAGGGAGAGTTGCCCTCACAGCGAGCGAGCTCCCTTGCTTCCGATCAATAAGTCGTAGCTTCCGATCCTACAGGAGGTGTCGTCGAAGGAGCGAAGTCAGGCATCAACACAGGACCCGAAGGAACTCCCCTGTGAGAGGGGGGTCGGGAGTTGGAGAGCAGCGAGCCAAAAACCTCCTTTATCTCTAGTTTTAACGACAATGACTTCGTGGAGGAAGTGACGTTGGGGTCGTGCGAAGTATGGCGAGCACGACGACACTCGTGGCCGGACAGGTACGTTGGATTTGATCTGATTTTTTTTATTTGGTACAGGTCAACAATAAGTTACTACAGAACATACTTTGTATGAACTGTTTTATCTTATTATCACAATTAAGTAATTCACGTTTACCTAAATTCACTGTAAAATGTATATATTTTTTAATCTCCGCATGTGTCTTGCGACTGACTCTAGCAAACATGACAAGAATGCCCAATTAATGCAACGTCGCATGAATAGAGTTAAAAAACCTCAACCTTGATTGAAGTCACTCAAACTTTGTTTGTTCGCAAAACATACTGCTTCAACACGTCCGGAGCATCAATATCCGCAAAGAATTACATCTTGTGCTCAACTCAATTGGGTGAGACAAAAACATTGAATGATTGACTCGATGTCACATGAATATCACTTAAAAATTGCCTGTTCATGAAATAGACTGTGCAGACATATCCAAAAAGTCAAAGTTAACTAAGTGGGATATTAATATTGCATGGATTTTCATGTAAAGATAAAATGTAAAATTTCCTATCACGCAACACAAAGCGATGACATGAATTTGACATGCACAAGGAACGAGAAATAATGAAAAAAATTTGATTTATATTTATTTTGTTTCTTTCTTTTGTTTTATTTTGATTAATTTAAAAAGTTAAAAATCCTCAATATCCTTCAAATCCTCGAAATTGTGCCAACCAAATCACCACCTCCACCAACCCTTTCTTCTTCTCTTTTTCTCCCTTTCTACTTCTCTTTCTCTCTCTAAACAAATATCTCTCTCATTAGCTCTCCTTTCTCCCTTTCTCTCTTTCTCTAGTCCTCTCTCTAACCTCTCTTTCTCTCTTTAAATATAGAGAGAGCCCATTATCCCTCTTTCTCTCTTTATCCCCCTCTCATTAGTTCTCTATATGGTCAATCGCCCAATTTCTCTTTCTATATAGAGAGTGAACACCCAAAGATACCCTCTTTCTTCTCGTATTATATATCTCTCTCTATTTCTCTCCCATCTCACTTTCTTTCTCCATTTCATTTAAAAAAATAAAGACAAGCAAAAAAGAAAAAAAAAAGAGAAAGAAAATAAAAAATGAAGGGTTTAAATTTTTGTATTCGCAAATTCCCTCGTTATCTCCTCATTTTCAATATCTCTATATCTTGCATGAAGGTATAAACCTGCAAACTCACAAAATCATGATTTCGATGCGTTTGACACGATGACCTGAATCTATGCGCGCTTTTTTTAGCATGATGGAGAAAATTCTTAGTTGACATTTGCCATTGAGTGGGTAAGCCATGTGTGCGCTTTTCTTAGCATAATATGGACATTCTAATCTAAGTACTTATGCATATTGTTTCAATATGACGAGAAAATATTGCAATTTTCAAACTTGTATATGAAGACATGTACATTTTCTTATGTATGATGGGGTAGGAAATCTTCGCGGCTGTGATATCTTATAACATTGATTATATATGCTTTTCTTGATATGGTAAGCAAGCCTAGACTCCCTGTAGTTTTCTCCTATGAGGGAGAGGTGCCAAGTGATTGACGAAATTTTCAATGAATGAATTTATAAAGAACAAAATAAAAATGACTTTTTGGACTCAATAATGCTACCAAAATAAAAATATAATTGTAAAACAACAAAAATGAAATATCAAATAGTCAGAATGTAATATGCGTCATTAGGGGTGTCAAAAATTGACACGACTCGAAACCCGACCCAAAAAATCTGGGGTTCAACTCTTTTGTGAAACGGGTCGGGTTCGAGTTCGGATTTCAGACCAGTTTTAAAAACGGGTTGGGTTTGGGTTGACCCGACAAACTGCGGGTCAACCCATTTAACCTTGATCCCAAATTTTTCGGGCATCCCCCGCCTCACTCGACTTTGTTGTCCGCCGACTCTACGTCTCCACCTCACTCGACTCGACGTCTCCGTCGTTTGCCGACTCCGCCGTCTGCCGACTCCGCCGACTCCGCCTCACTCGAATCCGCCGTTCGCCGACTCTGCCTCATGCGACTCAGCAATTGTTCCCGCGGGTTTGCAGGTTGGGTCGGGTCAACCCGGCAACCCGTGCTGGTCGGGTTTGGCTTAGAAATCTTGAGCCATTTAGCTAAATGGGTCGGGTTCAGGTCAACCCATTTATGCCCTGGTCAAGTCGGGTTCGACCCGAACCAGACCCGCTGACCCGAATTGACACCCGTATGCATCTTCAAATGAATTTCAAGTATTAGAATTAAACAGAAAATTGAACAAATAAATTAACAATAGGGAACTCGATAACTCTCCAACGAGCAAGAATACAACTTGATAGTTTGCCAATGAGCATGTACAAGAGTTTGTTGAACTACTGTTATAAGTTAAATATTTAGCTTCTAATAGCTAATTTTCTCTCGTCACTAGAGGGCTAATTAAACATAGGAGCTTGCATTTATTGGAAACCATACTACATTGAAAAACTACCTCAAAATGAGGGTGAAATCTTTAGGTTGTATCCTATCTTCAACCTAAAAGTCTCTTAGGTTGTATTACTCTAGCAAACTGCAAACTTTTGGAGCCCACATTTTTATTGAACTCCTAATCAATTTTCAAGGGTTATTTACTTAGCATTTCTTGAAGATATTCCTTTTTGGACTTATGCAGGCTTATTGCTAGAGTAATATTCTCTTACAAAGATTATGTCCACAAATACAACCGTGATGACATTGGACATTTACATTACCTTTTTTAAGATATTGACGTTATTCAGAAGTCAAAATGAACTTCTAGCTGTTGAATGGTTTGTGCCGCTTTATTGTTAGAATTGATGATCAATTTGTCCTTCGCTGTCTGCGCCCTTCATGTTTAAACTTCTCATTCCTCTTGACCTTTATATCATTTCAATGTTGTATTTCTGGCCGTAATGCTATAATTTCCTTATAGAGTTGGTCAGTATTGTTTACTATTAAGAGGGAAGATAAAATCGTCAATCTACTAACTAATTACTGATGAAATCTATTATGTATGGAAGTTTATCTTCCAATCATTAGCAGATCGCATTAAAAAAAAATCATTGGCAGATGCTTCATTCAAATGCAAATTAAAAGTAGAACAAGCCTAGTTGTTGTTATAACATATTATTTTTAGCTTATGTAACTGGTTCAATCCCATTCATTAGTGATGGTTTTTATCTTATGTTTCTGATTCAATCTTGCTCATTCATTTTTTTGTTCATTATTATTCATCCAGGTTTTTCAGAGTGCAGCGCTTTTTGATTCACTTACAGTTCGTGAGAATGTTGGTTTCCAACTGTAAGAGATGCTCTTTTCTTTTAGATCATATTCAACAGTCAAAAATCTAAAGCTTCAATTAGCTATGGGTTCAGGGCTTGCCCTTCATAATGATATATATTTCTAATTTCCATTTTGTTCAAAGGTATGAAAATGCAAGGATGCCGCAAGATAAAATCGCAGAGCTTGTCAAGGAAAATCTGGCTGCTGTTGGGTTGAAGGTATTTGAAAATTGTCAGAAGTCTGTTTATTTTATTTGTTTTTCTATATTTTAATGGAATAATAGGAGTGAATTGACATCTTTTTTATGAACCTTTTTGTTGCGGAAGAATATTTTTCATGAAAAAGAATTCTAGGCTAGAAAATAACTTCTATGTGCCTGCTTTTGTGTTGTATTCTCAAATTCATTGTATTAGCTTTTGCAGTATTTCTACTTGAACTAGTAATCAACTTATCCTCCTTGGTAAGATTTTGGAACTGTAAATGCATCTGCCCACTTTAAATTATTGCTAAAAATAGACGCCAGTCATGAAAAAAGCAGGCTGTTTTGTTTCTGCTTCCATATAAAGCATTTTTTAAACTTTTAATGGAAAAGTAAAAATGAACTATTATAGGGGTCTTTGCAGTGTTTTAGTGGTTAGATGTCCATATTTTGTTTCTGTCTAGGAATCTATCTGCGGTAACTTGCAGCTTTGAACATACCTAACCTTCTAAAGAATGGATATTTTTGTCAAGATAAATGCTAGAATTGATGAAGGATGTTCTTGAATAATCATATTGTATAATTTGTGCTTGGATTATATTGACCTCGATATTTGCACTGCAATCCAACTTAGCTAAACATTATGGAAGTCACAGATAACTGATGCATAATATCATGAGGTTGTTTTGAAGTTGGTCACATTATGATGCATCGACAGTTCATATTAAGGTTACATACAATGGTCGACACTTGTCGAACACCAACCAGACTTGACACGTGTTAAGCACATCTGTCAGGTGTCCAATTAAAAAGATAATTAAAAATTATACATGCTTGTCCAACACTCGTGTCATAAAAACTTAGTTAAAATTTATAAAATTTTACTTTTTCTATTTTTTTTTCCATTTTTCTCCGGCACTTCTCTCGCAAATCTTCCCAATCGAACTTTTCCTTTCTCGTACACTCGACTAGGGTTTGGGTTGACATTGCCAAATCTATACATCCAGTCGCGAGCTTCCAAAACTCGGCTCTCACATGCTCGTCTCCCAATTTCCTCTCCTCTCTTGATGCCAACGCTCGTCTCCAAAGTTCGACAACCGATGTCCTTCCCCCTCTCGACGCCAAAGCAAACCCCAAAGCGAACAAAGCAATGGTTGCCATCTTCCTCTCCCATTATCTAAGCCCCATGTTCTCCAAACTAACACTAAATAATCAAAAGGAATGAAGATAAATTCTTCAAAGAAATAGTTTTGAGCTAAACTCTTATAAATTTATTGCAGAATGAAACATTATTAATAAAAGAATTTTCAAATAATTTCAATTTTAATGCTATGATTTTTTGTCATTTGTTTAAGTTATGCTATTTGATTTTTTTTTTTATATCTTTATGTGCATTGTGCTGTGTAATAAAAAATAATGAACACTGCTATAACTGTATAAGTTTATTGTATTTATTTTGCTTAATTTATGTGTTATTTTTAATTTTAAAACTATTAAAAAATAATGTCATCTCCAAGGAGTCTTTTTATTCTATATTTTCAATAATAAACATGTCTCATATCTGTATGTTGTCTCTAAAACCTTGTGTTTGGGTTTGTGCATCCTAGATGTCACATAGATAAAAAGAGCATGATTATCATCCATTACATAAAATAAACTGCATTAATATGTTTGGGGCATGAAAATGATAGGCGGGCCCCTCCGGTCCTTACTTACTCTAGGCGGGCCCCACATGGAGTTAATTCAAGGGTTGGAGGGAAAATTTGAATGGAAAGGGGGGGAAATTTGAATAGAGGGCTGTTTAGGAATTTTTTATGGGGATGAGAGTTAAAGAGGGGGAAAGGGGGGAATTAGGTCCTCATCTTGAATTTGAATGAAAAGTTTGAGATCTCATTGTGTGCTTGGGCTCTAGGGTTTGCTAGAGACTTGTGGAGAGTTGTTCTTCCTCTCGAATCGAAGGACGTTGTATCTTTCTTTGTTTTCTTGCATCTACTAGTGGAAACCTTGTTTCTTTTCCTTATTTTTCTCTGTTTGGGTGCATTAAGAAATAAAGTACAATCTGGAAAGACTAGCACAATATTTATTCATACATTGCATCTTATATATATATATATATATGTATTACATTTCACTTTAATGAAACTTTCAAACATTTGTAATTGATGCACTAATCAGAAAATTGTATAATCATGAAATAATTATACCTTCAACATTGGTAATTTATGCAAATAATCAAATAATTAGAATATTGTATAAATAAAATAAAATCATGAAAATATTAAAATAACATCATTTATCCACTTTAGTTTCCTCTTCCAATCTTCGTCTTGTATTGAAACCCTTTAATTGTTCCCAATAACATAATAATTTAATTAACATTAAATCTCACTTTGAATGTCTCAATAAACGTTTGATTTCTTCCACATGAAATTTCCTCATAAAATTTTCCTTTCTTTCTTTGTAAATCTTTCTCCCTGCACCATCAAACCAAAGTCTATATCATTTGGATTCTTCCAACATAAATTGATTTCTTCAATTAGCATTTGAGGATATAAATTCGTATATAAATTAACTCAATTAATAGTTTACTTACTTTATTCCACTTTTAGAAGAAAAGAATTTCCTATTGCTTTCCTTTTTTTCTCAAAATCTCATCCTTTCCGTGTTCAATATCTTCTTTTGCCGTCAATTAAATATCCATCACTGATTAGATGAAGAAATAGGGAAAGATTTATAAAAAATGGAAAACAAATTTTCTTCCTTCTTTCTTTCAATCATTCCTCACGTTCACTTTCATCTCTTCCTATTCTCCACTTTCTTTAGCGATAGGAATGAAAATGAGTTAAGAGGAGTTGGTAAAAATTATCCCCAAAAACGATCGTTTGCTCAAAATAGCGAAATGAACCATCCATACCCTTCCGCGCGCGAGTTCGGTTCGCCCAGGTTGTGATTCTTCCGTCTGTTTCGTCTCTGTTAGCGCGGGGTTTAATAGGGTTGGTCAACCGGTTCAATTGAACTGGCCAGGGTAAACCAGCCCTTACATTCTCAATCCTAAGCTAAATTCGCTACTAATATTTGCTAAGTATTTAACTTCTAGAAACTAGCTTAAATTAAAAAATTTCTCTCGTCACTGAGAGGGATAATTAATCATAGAGGCTTGCATCTATGAAAAACCTGGAATCAAATTATAAAGTAATATCAAAACAAGGATGAAATATCTGGATAGTGTATTATCTCATTCTAATTTACTTTCTAAAAATTTCACCCATAATGCTAAAACTCTCTCAGCAGAGCCTGGGTGAGAATTTTCTCAGCCCACATATATAATATTTGTAGAAAATACTATTAGGGGTTCCCATTTTTAACCTTTCATTGAAAATGCTCCTTTATGATAAGTTTTATGAGCTTGCTCTACAACTTTCATGCCAAACAACTTAGTGTCAATTATGCATTTCATGATTTGAATCTTTTTTAGTTTGTGAGATTATGAGATGTTAAATGTGATACAAATCTTAGTATTTTGTTAAGGCCAATAGATCAATGTTTTTAAAGCCTTACATTGGTTTATCACGGATATAATCAGGAACATAGAATTGTTCTCAGGTTGTATGTTGTCCTGCGGTTTATTTACCGTAAATTTTCTATTATAATATGTTCAGGGGGTGGAGGATAGGTTGCCTTCTGAGTTATCTGGTGGCATGAAGAAACGGGTGGCATTAGCCCGATCTATTATATATGACAATACAAAGGAGATAGTTGAGCCAGAGGTATACTTTCTTGCTTTTTATGCCCACAGTATTATCCAACATTGTGTTCATTTTTTTTATATTGGCTATGGAGATGCTTATATTAATAACATTCTAAGTGAGTTTCTTTGTTATGCTCTTATCATATATGATAGTTCTGCTCGGTGAGACATTTGTTGAATTAATTAGAAGGCTAAAACAATAAAGAAAAATTTAGAAGATAAATGACTTATAATCTGTAGAATAAAAGCTAAATATATTTGTGACTTTAGTTAGTGTGATATCAATAATTATTAATTAAAGTTTTTAGAAGATAAAGTGGTATTTAGGTGTGATAGGCTTATATTTTTTGATAGTGTACAAAATAATTGGAATATAGAAGAGGGCATAACTTTTGGAGTTATGATTAACTGGTTAAATTGGAGAAATATTCTGAGATTATTTTGTGCGAGAGAATATCACGAAGAATTAAAGATAAGTTTTATTAAATTATAGTTTATCTAGCTATGTTTTATAGATATTAGCGTTAGACAGTAAAATTTTTATTGATGGCTAAGTTGAACATTGATGATATAAGATTGTTAAGATATAATTTTGTCAAAATTATAAACAATAAATTAAGGAGTGATCATGTTTTTTGGATGGTTGGAGCATTGTTTATTGAAGTTAGTGGAAAATAGTCTTTAGGTAGTTTGGACAAGTACAACAAATGGTATAAAATGCCCTCTTTTTATGTATCTATAAAGTTAATATAAAGCAATTAGGAAGGAAAAATGAGTGGACCTGAAGGTAATATGTATAAAAGTTCTTCAAAAATATTGCTAAGAAGAGGTTTAACACCTCATGCAACACTTTACATGAATGAATGAAAATACAACAACAACAATATCAAGCCTTAACTGGAATGAAAAATGATGATTTTTAAAACTAACCCCAAACTATTATAATGATCATAATGATGATGATACGTGAAGAAGAAAGCATAACTATTAGGGGTATATATGATTTAGTAGTTTTGGTTATAAGACTATTGACGGTGGGCATGCATTAAAAAAAAAAACCAACTGTGGGCATGCAATAAGAGTTAAATTGTAATTGGAGAAGTTGTACTTTACTTCAAGATAGTCTATGATCTTTCGACAGTGAATACTTAGAAATGAGTATAGCACTTAATCATAAAAAGTGCAGTCATCCTATCATAAATATTAAATATGCTTCTTTTACTATGAAGGAAAGATTTTTTTTTGAATAAAATGTTTAATTCTATGAGAAAGTTTGACTGCACTTCTTAGAATAGTAGCCATAGATGCATATATATAACGTATCAAACAAAGAATAAAGACAAATAATTACCCTAGGATATGATGATAAAATTTGAACGGTGAGAAAGTTGTTACTCCTTTATAATGCGTTGCTAAGGCACTTTGTAATTCTTTAATTCCAAACCTAATGTGGAAAATGATAGCTAGTCCTATCAAGAGATTTTTGTGGAAGTTTAATAAGATTCTATAAACAAATCATGCATAATTAAGGAGATGGAGTACAGAGATGCAAAAATTTATTAAGGAAAAATATGCTTTTAAAGAGTGCAAAAAGATAATTACTATTGAGGCTTATAATGATTATAAAAAAAAAATCAAAGCTTTAAATTTTTATTCTAAAATAATTATAGTTACTTATGCTAAAATAATGATAGTTACTTAAAAAAATGATTATAACACAAACCAGTGGTTTTATTCAATTCATTAGCTGAAGAATATACTTTCTTACAGGTACTACTATATGATGAACCCACTGCAGGTCTAGATCCGATTGCGTCCACTGTTGTTGAAGATCTCATCCGCTCGGTGCATCTGAAAGGAGAGAGCGCCACTAGAAGGCTTGGAAAGATCGCATCCTATGTTGTTGTTACTCATCAACATAGCACCATTAGAAGAGCTGTTGATAGGTACTTCATTCTGCCACTTATTTTAGCTTCTTTGTTTGATGTCCTCTGCTTCTGCATTAGTTATTTACTAAACAAACAAACCCCAATGTCTCAGATTGCTTTTTCTGTATGATGGAACGATTGTTTGGGAAGGAATGACTCAGGAATTCACTACTTCAACAAATCCAATAGTTAAGCAGGTAAAGTCATTATTGCATTCACTTGATATAATCTGAATGTTCATCTTTTTCTGAAGTAAAATGATCATAGATTAAAGAACAGTAAATTGCTTGCAGTTTGCTTCGGGGAGCTTGGATGGGCCAATCAAGTATTGAAAACATTTTTCTCATTATCATTTTATTCATTGGAGACCTATTGAAGCTGTGAGTCTGTTATACCCTGAACTCCTACTTTATTTTTGATATTAATATAGTTTAAAGAAAGTAGGTGAAGAATTTAGGCTTCTTTTAGGACAGCTTTCTTACTGCTTCTTAAAGCAGCTTTTTAGTACAAAAATTTTAAAATTTTTGTACTAGAAAGCTGCTTTAAGAAGCAGTAAGAAAGTCGTCCTAAACGAAGTCTTAATCTAAGTTGGTAGCTTATTGCACATGGTCTTTTATGCTTCATTTCCAAAAACTAGCTATTGATAAGATATTGGTTTTTGAAGCTCTGTTCTGGACTTTGCCGCCTCAGGAATTATGCTAAAGCTTCTGCAGAACATTGCTCCATATGCTTTCTGACTGGAATCAATTTGTGCTATTCTTTTATGGGCATTTCGGCACCTGTTATCGTTGTAAATGGTAAGAAATTCTTACAAGATATAAATACGTTAGATAATGAGGCGTTAAGAAAACTGAGATAATTGTAACAGGTCCCATGTCCGATTTTGATTAGAATATCCTGTAAAGTAATTTCAGTCCAGAAGCCATGTTTCCCAACTCTTGGCTTTCTCTCAAAGCTACTATCTGCTCTGCAGTGATGCTAAATATATTTTTGTTAGTTGTCGACAGAACTCTGCTTATGTTTGTTGAGTTGCTTAAATGAACTTCAAACATCCTTAAAAAGTAAAATAGAATGAAATTCCTCGACAGGCAGCATTCAAGAAAGGTTAAGGCCTCATTTGAGACGGCTTAATTTCGCCTTTTCAATTTCGAAATGGCAAAAAAAAATTTTTGTTGTTGTTTGGATGTGTCACTTTTGCAGAAATATTTTTTAGAGATCTATATTTTTGTACTGTTTTCAAAAGTTTTATGATATTTATTTCTCCAATAGAAAATTTTGTTATCTCAACAATAGTTTTAAAACTACCTATTAGAAAATGTACATAATAATCAAACAAAGCCTAAATGTACTTGTTGTGACACTCCTCATGTGGGTTAACAATTTTTGCTAGAGATTTCTATAAAGTTTGTTTTAAGGCAGGAGTGTCATATATTAAAAATATCTTTTAGATATTAGGACAAGCGAAGAAATTTGGACTTATTGATGGGTATGGCTGGTAGCATTTTGAGGATTTTGAAGTCGTTTTTGGTGTTCTTGTATAGTTCTCCCTAAGCCAAGCTATCCAATCCTTTGCTTTGCGATTCACGCAAATTACTCATCTTCCACAAGATCGCCAAAAAAAACTTCAAAAATCCACTAATTGCCCACAGTTCTATCCATCAATAAGACTCAAATTATCGCATTTCTCCTAATATTTATAGCATATTGAAATGGAGCAAATGGCTAGCGATTTTGATAAGCTTTCTAGCATTTTAAAGCTCTTTGTATTTGGCCTAATGAGGCGATGAGATCTTTGGTTCAAATGCAACTTTGTTCCAGCACATTGTCAAAGCTAACATTTAGGAGTAAGGACTCACGCTCACTCTAAAGAGAGCAGTTGGCGGCATAGTTAATTCCTCAGCGGAACTTAAGACGGTCACCCACCAGCATCAGGCCCACACTTGTTTTGCCTCATCGAAGATGCAAGATTGTAGTAGAGAGGATTTGAATTCGGTATAAAAGTTCCAACCGTACTCGCTCACCAATCACCCTAAGCCCCGTACTCGCTCACCAATCACCCTAAGCCTCGTTGGATAAGGCATCACCTTCAAGATATGATTGTCAAATGCCATAATGATTGCTGGTAGATTTATTATTTGAAAGTCTTTTAACTCTAATTCATGATTGTGTAAGCCAAGTGAAAAATTTTTGCCACCTATGAATGGTTACTCCATTAACATGTGAGATTTACAATGAAGTCTAGAAGCTAAAAAATTGTTCAGTAAAATTGAAAACACGCATAGAGGTTCTCAAATTGTACTTTTCTAATATTTTAAAAAGCAGGGTTACATTACGCGTTCAATTTTATTTTTTATTATTTTAATTATTTTTAATTATGATCATATATATGTTCATTTCTAGGTTGAGATCCTACCAAAGATATTCAAAATAATATCATTTGGTTTAATCTATTGGTATGTGCCGACTTTCTTTAATACCTCCCATAAAATAAATTAAATCTTAAATTAATCAGAGACTTTTCCTAAGTGAGTGTTTTTCAATTATTTAAAGTGAAAATTCATAATTAATTGAATATTAATAAAAAATTATTAATCAGTAGTGCCAACAAAAACTTAACTTTGAACATTGGTAGAAAATTACTGAACCAACGCTAACGCATACCGAGAACACATGATTGAATTATACAAAAGCATTCAACTACTCCCCACATAGGGGAGAAATTATTCTCTGCAGACACAGAGCATCGTTTGAAGATCAATCATAATGATCCACGTCGGTACCGTATCTTAGTATCGCTCGGTATTACTGACGTGACTCATTCTGATTAATCTCCGAATATAGAAACCACACAGAATAATTTCTTCACATAAGTATAGCCCCACAGTGTTTGCTGGAAGTTCCACTAAAATAACACACTAACAAAAGAATAAATTTTACTTACAGTGAACAAGAACAGAGTAGAATGAATCCCTAAGTAACAATTCGCCCAATCATAACTTCAAAAGTGGACAGAAACCAAACTTTCATGGAACAAATTTTCAATTTACCTGTACCAGAAACAACAGCATTTAAGAAAAAAAAGGCTTACAAGAGTTGCCAAAGTGTGGCCAGCCAATATTTTCCTCCATGACACCCCTTCAATGCAATCTCGTCAGCTCCTCAACTCTCTTGCAAAGCTCCTCAACTGATACCCCAATTGTTTTAGAAATTTCTTCCATCCTGCTACGACTGAGATCCAGAAAGGACTCTATCAAGTCACCATCTAAGAAATTCCTTGCATCAACTGTCTTCTTTTCATTATTGAAAGACCTCCATTGCTCATGACTGAGCCCACCGACGCCTTTTATAACTTTGACAAGATTGGACTGAAGCTTCTCAAGGAACACATAGTGGTCATGAGGGAGAGAGGCCACAATCCCAATCACACCATTGACGGTGCCAAAGATGACAGTGGGGATGTTGCCAGCTTCGGAGTCTGGAAGGCGCATAACGAGGGAGCCGTGCCGGAAGCGGTTCACAAACTCGCCCAGGTGGTACTCGCCGACAACTTCCAAACGGCCACGCTCCTCATCAGTGGCTCCATCACTATTTCTTCTCACTGTGAAAAGGTTGAAGTTGTTTTCAGCACCAAGGTAAACATCATCATCAAGGATCTCAACAGCAGTCATCCAGTTTGCATTGTAGTCCCGGGCTCGTTCTTCAATGGCGCCCTCCTCATGCTGAAGAAAAAAAAAAATCCAAATTTAAGAGCAATACAACCAAGCAAATCAGTGACCTGAATTAGCTGCTTATTAATGGTTCATTTGTAGTCTCTAACGACCGCATGATAAAAATCCCTATTTTTTTTAGTATCTTGCATCAATGGGAGAACAATTATGAGGTATATAGCTTATCCCCTACGTATAAAAAATTTGAATATTCTAAAACGCCATCAATACAGTTCATAATTTCTTAGCATTGCATATACTTCTGAAAGAAATCGTAAGGGCGATAATAGGAACTAAATCAACCATCCCTCAGGTTATTTGAGGGTTGAGGGTGGAGAGATGAGGTTGGTTGAATTAATTGCTGTTGTGTTCAAGTTGTTTGTCAATCTATTTCACCATTTTTTGGAAAAAAACTTTCTTCCATTCCTGACAAACAAATGCAACTTCAGGTAATCAAATCTCAAAGCTTGGAGTTCCCATCTGTCCTCGAAGAGTAATATTTGGTGATTGCAGCCGGCCCAAGTCTATCATTCTGGTTTACAGGATTAAATATTGGTACTTTAACCCAAAAACATTTCAGTCATTCTTGCATCTGCGAGACTTTCTGCCGATTTTGCAGGCCACAATTAGACAAGACAAGTTTCAGGCTCGCTTATCCGGATGAAGGTCAAATTCGTTTTATTTTCTGGAGGGCTCAGTTTTGCATAACTGCCGTTTTGGCTACAAGATTTTCCATTAAATGGAAAGGGAAGCTTGGAGCGATGATGCCTTAGGATCATGGGTTCAAATTACAGAAGCAGCTTCTCGGTAATCTAGAGGTATTGTTTTGTAAATTAAGCCTCTCCTGACACTAAATTAACAAGAACAACACGGGCCAGGCACACCCTTTTACACATGCCTTCTAAGGCAAATTACTTCAATCAACAGCATATTAATGCATACTGGCAAATCTGAATTGGACTTATTTGCAAACCTATTCACCCCAATGTTATCAAGTCAAGAATCCCATAGCAACAATAGCATACATGATATTTTGCTAAAAAAAAAGAAAAAGAATCCCATAGCAACGTTTTTTTTTTCTCGTAGCATTCCTACAGGCCAAATCACATGTAGTAAATAATCATATTGTGAGCAAAAACGCTTCCTGATAATATCACTTATATCACTAAACATTTGATGCGTGGGGTGCTTACATTTATAAATGACATCTTATTTGAATAAAAAATCAATTATTTTATGTCATTTGTTCTTATTTGTCATTTTGTCAATATGAAGAATTAAAAAAGATCATTAGTAAGTTTAGATATGTATGCATTACTTCAATTTTAGTGAGGTTAGAAAATCCATGAAATTATAACTATTATAAATACTATGGGGGGATCATCAGTTTCTCATTTTTACTCCTAGTAGTCAGTCTTCTTTCCTCTCACTCTCTAACTCTCGCTTCCCTTCTCTTAATATGTCCACCACAGATGATTTATACAGGAGGGATCTTATGCAATGGCATGACAGACCTACTTGTGATGATTAATAGACGACTTTACAGAAAATGTAACAGTAATGCCTATATTTTTTAGATGGAAATCAAATGCTCAATTCATCTAATTTTTCCGAGTCAGGTAAATTCAATACAAATGATAGTTTATACTCTTCGATAATGCAAGATAGTGCATTGAGAATTGCAAGCAGACATTTTGAGTTTAATTTTATCTTAATTGATATTACTTCTTTAAATTTTTTACATAGTTTGCCTTATCCATGCCTATGTCGATGTCTATGAGAACAGGTTGCATTCATTAATTTTGTGAGTCTTTTGGTCATATTTGATTTACTTGATTTAGTACAACTTTCTATGGATTTACCCTTATTCAACTGGTGCACAGGTTCAGAGCCTTGTGCCTTTTCGTTCATTGATTCAATGTCCTATGCCTAGATATGTGATTCTTGGTTTCACGCTCTCGTGCATTGTCACTCTTGTGATCTTTTCATTTGCATCCTTTTGTGGGTGTTTGGTGTGGAATCTTAACATGACTTTTGGACAGAATTTGTTACAAGAAAGTTTTGAGAGGCTACAATTAGGGAATGTGTTGATTACAAATATTGGGTTATTCAGGCATGTAGAAGACAATTGTAGTTTAATGAATTTTTTATTTTCTTTATGCTTGAATGTTAGCTGGATGTGAATATTAGAGTGATGCAAGTGGTGACTATTCTTTTAGGGGATGTCACCACCTTAAATTGGTGCGAGGCATGAATTTTTAATTTTGGCAGATTCTTTGTTATTTTTCTATAGTTTTATTAATTTTTTTACCTGCATGATTAAATTGGTTGAAACTTTTATAACCTATTTTTTAAATTATTGTGAAACATAACTTTTATGATCTTAAACATCTATGCATAATTTCTATTATAATGCCATTAGATTATCGAATACATAGAATTTACATGTCTTTGGGGTTCTTTGGGGTTGCAGTAAGAGAAACTAAAATATTTATTCTAAGTGCTTATTAGTGAACCCAAAATTTGATTTCGTGTGAATGACTTTCATGCAATACATCACATAATCGTATCAAGGAACTCTAAACCTTAAGTAGCAATAATAATAATAATAATAAAGATGTAGTCTTTTGTGTTTTACATTGTGTTATTAGAGGCTCTAGGGTTTCCTAAGGTGTGTATCTTCTTTCACTTGGATCCATCCTATCAATCATGATTCTATGAAGATCCCTCATAAATCCCATTATTTGCTTACCCTCTCAATATGGTACTATTCGATCTCATGATCATGCACAAGTTGGCTTCAACCTAGTGATCCATATATATGAGTCCTCTTTGACCTCACAACCCCATTCAAGACCTCACAATCCTGCATCCCATCGTTCTGCATACTGCTCCCGCTTCGGTATCATACACAGCAATGTCTGCTTTAACCATGTGTATTCGCATAGTGCTCCAGCTCTGCTTCTTATTATCCAAGTTTTCTTCAATTTAGACAAGCAGAATTGCTTCACAATCTACGTCATCTTGACACAAAATCGACGAGTAGCTTCGTCACACACCTTCATGCTTGCCTACATGGGTCACGTGCAATCTCTTTGCATCGTGCATGTGCAAGACCTCATGCACATGTCTCGCTCTTCATTTCTTCTTAGTCATGCAATTGCATCTCCGCTTCTTGGGCTTCAAGCATGGTGTGTCTGCCCGCTCTTTGGAGTTGCACCTTATGGCATTAGTATCCCATTGTTCATGCTTCTCGATTAGGGCTTCTGAGCTCAATTCCTTTTGCAATAAGGGCAGCCATTGTTGCCTTCCATCTATCGTGAATTTTTGCACATCTTATATTTGATGTCATTCTAATACCTTATGTCATTTGTGCCCCATTTTTCATGCCAGTTCCTCCTACAACTAGGGCAACACTTTCGTTGTCTTCTATTTTTCCCTCGCCTATCATGAATTTCTAGTCATCCTCTTGTATCTAGTGTCATTCTAGATCATGTATTTTGAATCCATATGGTACCACAAATGTCATTCCGACTTTCAATTGGAGTTTTCTCATATTGCCTTTCCTTCTTTTGTCTTAAGCTTTTAAACATATTACAACATTTTCTTCTCCCACATTGGTTGCTACTAAGATTTCAATTTAATCCTCAATTCAGTCTTTGCACCACCACCTACTCCAATGGGTGGAGGCTCCCTCTCTCGCTCTCACACCATCAATGATTGCATCTCCTATTGCTCTCTTTGCTCACTCCTTTAGTGAGCAGAATTTTTCAAGATTACATTCCTCTCCATCCTACCATTTTCTTTTATTTTTTTAATTAGAGTCATATACTCAACAACATTAAGGAACATTAGCATATCAAAACAAACCTATGCATATTTTCAATGAAGATGAGATCTCATTGCTTGGCAGAACACTCTCTCATTCACCTGTGTAAATTCTTATTAAGCCACTCCAAACTAGAAGTTATTCGCAAATTCATGATAGATTTACACCTAGTTAATGAATTTTTCGTTGGATTCATTGGCCCTCATAATATTATTATAAGATAATTCTTAGAAGCAAATTACAATTGACTTTTTTCCCAAGTGCCTATTCTCTTGCCCATGTCTATTATTTCAATCAATCTGCTTTTAGGTTCAATATTTGGTAATCATTTACAAGTAGATGCTGCTACTAATCATTTTAAGTTTTTTATTAGTAGAATTCTGGTTCAATTGTATGTTACTTCTCAATTCAAAAAGGAGGTCTATATTAAGTTCTCATCTTCTTCATATTGCTAAAGGGCTGAACTTGAAGACATTACATCATATTGCTCTTCCTACAAAATTTTTGGACATGAGTTTTCTGAATATTTCAAGGCCCATACCTAAGGAAACCTAACAAGTGCAAGAGAAATAAATCCAACATTAAAGCTCTTACCACTATGGTGGCTGCTGCTGCTCCAACATATTAGGTATACACTCAGAACTTGAAACCAATAGTAAACTCTCCTTTAGAATTAGATATTGTTGGCTTGTCCTGCATTGTTATTCACCACATCAGCTACAAGTAATATCATTGACATAGACCTCCCTATTCTTTAAACACCTTATTTCCATGCTAATTTCTGAAAAAATCAATGATCATGACCCTCAACAACCTTGTGGCTAGGATGAGAGCATTCAAAACGTTGATACTTTGGTGAATAGAAAGTTTCAAATCATATGTACCAAACGGAGAAAGAACCTGAATAAAAAAATTCTATCAGTCCTTCCCTTGCATTCACTAGGCTTCAAACTAGAAATTCAAAATTAGTATTTTTTGAATTTTTTAAATGATTTTGGATGCCCATTTTCATCATCATGATTTCTTTTCTTGTCTTATATATTTTTCCTTTTATTTGCCAATTCTTTGAAATTTCTCAAGTTGTACTCATATCATTTGTTAGTTATGATAATATACTTCAAAAAAAAAACAATGACAATAATATTAATAAAATAACCCTAAAAAAGGAACTTATAATCCAGTAACATTCATAGGTTCCATGAACAAATGATCGTTACAATGTTGCCTACTATTTTTGTGGATTAGAAAACAAAAGTAAAAGTATTTAAATAAGGAGAATCAAGATGATGGCATAAATTACAATCTAGGTGTAAAAGAGTTAGCAGGTTGTTTACCTTATATAGAAGCAAAGAAATAGACTTCATCAGGTCTCCAACCACAATGAAATCACCTCGGGTTTGGACATATAAAGCAAGTATGTGACCATGATGTCCGCACTCAGATTGCAATTCCCGTGTTCCATCCTCGCGAAGCATCAGCTTGTACAATTGAATCTTCTGATTGATTGCAGCAAGTAATTTCCCGTTGAATGCATTGAGGGAGTATACAGCTCCTTTCGTTTCCTTTTCAGCTATTAGTTGTAGCTTACCATCTTCAACTACAAAAACTAGGATACGTCCCTATACTCATAAACCCAAAAGGCATTTCTTAATGAATAAAAAATTGCATTGCTACAATGACACATTCTATGGAAGTAGCTGAACAATTATCCAATGATCTGAGAACAATCAATCACCAATATGAGAAATTACTCTTAATCACTTAGAAGCTGTATACGGAAACAAACTAGGTCGCATGATTCATTGCAAACTTGGAATATGACAGGTAGAAATAAACAAACAAGAAGGGGAAACCATAACTAAAGTTTGTGAAGAATGGCAAAACTTCAACTTGAAAGTAAACAACAAAATCTTGAATCACCACTATCAAAACTGAGAATAAGTTACTATAAATCATGTAAGTTATAAAATACAAATCATTAAAATCAATTACAAATGCATCAATAGTTCATAGCACATTCCTACTAAGACGCAAAAGTAGGATACAAATTAGATATAAAAATATAATTTAACGTTGCATTCCACATTTTCATGCGTGTAGACAAAAATCACTTACGTTTTTTCATATAAAATTACTTCCGCATTCAAATATGAAGGTGGAATCAGAAGCCAAGAAGCCCCATTGGGGTTGCGACTCAAGTATTTGACTATGAAATTGGTATTAGAGCTACTTCAAGCTCCTATACACGTTCCATTGACTGATAAGATTGCTGTTTTACAAAGCAGCGAAGTCATATAAAAAAAACTCCATAAAATAATCCAAACTCCAGCAAAAACTTTGCCTAATTGACCAGATGGTCATATGGATGAAAATTCTAGGAACGGCTCAAGCTCTCAGCTTATTGGCATTCACAATATAGCATTAAAAGACGAAGATTCTAGTGTGATCCATCAAAAAAGCTCAACCATTTACAAGGTCAAGTTTGAGCCAATCACAACAAGCTAGTCTCATCAAAAGAGCTAGTCAACTATCCAAAAATTTAATTAGGTATACTCGTAAATGCAAATTTTATTAGGGTTAAATACAAAATTCTAAACAAAACTTTATGCTCTATTTCCATTATTCCTCCTTTACTGCTTTTGCTCCAAATCCCTTCTCTAATGGGATTTCATTAAAAGATGTAAGAGAATATTCCTACAAACAAGGTTAATTACAATGAGGAAACAAGTTTAAGAACCGTATGTCATGCTGGACTAGCAATTGAGCGGATGAAGAGTCGAATTGATGAGTTTGGGATGATATATAAGGTTCTCAATGTGGTACTTCATTTTGAGTCAGTCAAAAAAACTATTGGGGACTATTTGATAGCAAGTAGGATTCAAGTCAAATACAATTCAGTAATTAAATTTGGACTTAGTAAACCTTTTGAGTGTTAAATTCAAAATTTTCATTGGTTCTTAAATACTAAATCCTTGAAGCCTCGACTTCCAGATTTCATTTATCCTGTAACGAGCAAGATTTAGTAAATATAAGGCTTTGACCACATCCTGGATTTCTGAAATCCAGAATTGAAACAAAAAACCGGATATTGCATATGCAATTGGGATAGTAAGTCAAATTCATGCATGTTTAAAAGGGAAACAGTTCTCAGTTGTCCATAAGATCTTTCGATAGCTAAAGGATGCATCAGAAAGATCTTATTCAAGAAAAATAAAGAACGTAGTTTAGAATTCAATACGAATATTGATTGTGTTGGATCAATCAAAAATAGAAGGTTAATAACTAGTTAGGTACTACCATTACATGATAAAGAAGCAAACATGGCAGCAAGATCAAAAGCAAAATCTAAGTTCAAAGCCATGGCTCAAGGCATCTCTGAAATCCTATGCCTTAAAATTATAATTGATAATCTTATATCAAGTATGACAGATCTATGAGACTTTATTGTTATATGTAATCAATATTACTCACAATCCTATCATATATGACCACAAAAAATATATGAGATTGACACACTTCATTATAGAAAAATTTGGACAATGGTTCAATTAGCACTCTATACATTCCTTCAAACAATCAACTTGAAGTTGGCATGACGAAAGGACCAACTACTTTAAGATCTCCAAAAAATTACTTGTATGCTGAGAATAGAAAATATATATTCTCCATCTTTAGGAGTTTGAAATTGACAACAATCCAAGGTTCCAATGTGGCAATTAACTATAAAAATCCAAGAAATCTAGTTTTCATCTGTGGAATTCTCACGTGTGAAATCTCATGTACAAACAGTCTCCTTAGCTTCAAACCCATGGATGTACATTAATGTAGGGTTGTTTCTTTTTCTTTTCTTAATTTAATTAGGAGTAAGGTTTTTCCTATAATAGTTTTCTCCTTATAACTAATGGTAGAAGGTAACTAGCCATATAAATAGAAATAAAAAGAGGAATTGATTCCTCAATTCTATACAATTTGTTTCATTTTTGTTTACTCATTTGATCAACATGCATGTGACAGCTTAAACATCACTAAAATTTATTGTTCAAACAAGAAAATATTATTCATGAGAAAAAAAGGGAAGAAAAGATGCTCTTTGGGAGTCAAGCTTTCATGCATGGAATTCCCAATCGTATAAGGAAGATAATATAGCATCTTATGTAAGAATCTGGAGACATAAGATTGGGGCGTTATGTGGCATGCACTACACCACCTTTCACTTCCATAGGCATGAAGTCAAATGCAAACAAAAATAGTTTGCACCTACAATAGTTTAATGGTTTCATCATCAAATAATACTAATTCAAGAATTTCTCAACCTACAAAAGTTGTATGCCAAGCATGCACTCCAACAAAATCCCAACCAGTTTCTTGGCTTTGGACAGTTGAAATTAAGCTGGAAGTATAGACTTAATAGTTGAAAGTGCAATCTCGAAAATTAAAATCAATTCATCAAATAGTTTCTGTTGGAACCATTTTCTGGGGAACTTCAAAGCAATTAAAAAAAAAATTTTGAGCATACACGCAGCATTGGAGAAAACCAATATGAATAATAAAACATCTTTCTACAAAAAAAATTGATTCATTTACTGGTTATATCTAATAACCAACAATAAAAATTATCATTTAAAAGGAGAATTCAATAAGTTATAATAGTATTAGATATTCCTTTCATTCAGTATTATAAGATAAATTACATTTCAGTATTATAAGTTAAATTTATGTAAGAGAAAAGAAATAAGCAGAGCCTTACCTTAGTAGGCTCATTTTCCTCAGGTAAAACGTATGCTGTACCAACAGAATAGTAAACATTGTTGTCATCTGAGAAGGAGCAACTAATTATAGAGCAGCCATACTCGAAAGTGTCCAATTGATAAGTTGATATGAACTCAAATGTTTGATCATCCAGCAAACGAACAAAATGAACTTCTGTCTCGTCATTGTTAATCAGACAATTTTTTAAACTACATATAGCAAAAGTTCGAGACTGTTCCTGATGGCAGATACGCCGAGCATGTTCACCAAGCGGGATCGAGCGAATGTGAAGTTTTTGAATATCATCAATTGTTCCAATAGAAAGTTCACCTTCTTTTGCAATTGCAAGACTGCATTTGAATGAATTACCATCAATAGAGATGTGAGAAAAACCAACCAATAATGCTTATAGCAAAACTAAATAGCAACAACCTTCTAGGCAAGCGATCAGAGTATTAGTCACAATATCAAAAAGAATATACACAAAGGAGTCAAATTTACGAACATGACTGATATTATTGATCACAATATATCTAATGCAAATATTTCATTCTTTTTTCCTAAATGAAATATTTATATTAAGCATTCATCATCAAGAAGGTTCCAAGGAAGGGGCAAAGTTTCCCAAACATTCTTCTAATGAATATTGATCAACAATTCTTTAATACTAAAAAGCATATTGGGTGATATACATATAAAACATAACTCAAATTATTCAAAAGAAACTTTCACAAATTGTTAGAAGAAAAGCAATGGAGACTGAAAGAACCTGTCTGGAAAAGCAGCTGAATTAAATGGACACATGTGACTGACTTCTTTAAGATTTACATTACTATAGAGCAATTTTTTGTTGCTGCTGTAAATAACTGTTGGCCTATCAGAGGCAGCAAACACATGTGTGGTATCCTTTGATGAAAATGTTCGAAGAGTGATTGGCTGTGTTCCAAGAGAAACCTTCTTCCTATCAGATAACTCACCGGTAGCTAAATTTAATAAAAAGTTGAAGAGATGCCCATCGCCAAGGGCACATAGCAAATATGAGATCTGAAAGATAAAGATACATTCATGCAAAAAAAATGGTCAGCATAGATCCTAAATTAGTTTTTTTTTAGATCCTAAATTATTAGGATTGGCCAATTATGAATAATAATAACATACTCCTTCAAATGAACAAATCAAGACAGAACGTGGGATAATTTCTCCACCAAGGCTCTCTTTCGTAATAAGATCCAGGCTCGGTAGGGAAAATATTCTGACGCTTATATCAGTCCACATACCAACTACTGCCAGAGCACTAGAATTAGCTTTTTCACCAATTGGATTTATGTCTAGACATGATATCTCATATTCCAATTGTATATGTTTTACTTCAGTCAGCTTTCCGTCCCCAATTTCAAGATAAACAAGATGGCCACCTCCAATAGCCAACAAAACCTGTAATGGCCAATGACAAAATCTCTTTTGATCAAATTGTTCTGAACAAAAACAGATACAATTGCCAATACAAACAATAAAAACACATTAGAAATTATTTAAGGTCTCTATACTTTTTTGACACAAAGTGCAAGGTCTACTGTTCTAATCAAAGTGTAAAAGAAGATTCACGAATAAATTATTAAATCAAGCCAATGCCAGCTAACCAATGTTACCAAAAACACAATATAGCCCCCATCCTTCACCAAAGGAAAAATCATAAAACAAAAATTAAGACCTGAGTAGCATTTGCAGTAGCAACATTAACTGAAAAACCAGTAGGAGCGATCCATTGATCTTGCAGCTCACGGGATGTACAGCTCACAAGACGAACAGAACTTGCAGTAACCTGGGACAAAGCAAACATTGATCATTGAACAGAAGACCATAAATCACATAAAGAAGTAGAAAAATAGTGATCTTAACAAGTAGAAAGAATATGGTTTATATAGTCAAAGTAGAACTTAAGTAAGCTTACAAGTAGTAGGCATAAAGCATGCATCAGTACTTGTAAAAACTATGAAAAACAGACTTTTATATCAGCACCTGAACAAGCTGGTCATGCAAGGCATTTTGGCAAAATAAAGTCTGTGCTTGCGCATAGAAGCCCTCTATCTCAGTTTCTTCTAACTCATCCTCCATATTCATAGCCAAAATACGTGTCTCACTGATAAAGCTTACCACCAAGAAAGTGTCATTTGGATCAGTAGTAGAAGATCTTAAAGACCATAGCCCTTTGATACCTTGAAGTTCTACTGACGCCTAAGATTTAGATAAAATATGGACTATAGCTAAGGAAACTCCAAAAAAAGCTGATAAAAATTTCAATCATATTTCGTATTAAAGACACTTAAGAGCAAACCTGTTCATTTATTCCTATACCATTTCGAACAATACGAAGTGAACCATCTTTATATGCTCCTGAGCAAGTGACCACCTGACCTTGCCCTTGCCTCTCAAGGTCCACAACACAGAAGTCAACAATTGGGCCAAGATTGACATATTTTTCAAGAACTTCAACATATGAGCCTTTTTCATCTGGTTGCAGATTAAGTTTGATAAGCTGTTTAAGGTCAGCAGTGCATGGTTTAGTATAGAAGGCAAATAACTCAGAAAATCAAGAAAGCATCAAGAACATTATATCATTGTAACAGAAGTTCTTGAAATAAAGCATAAAACTTCAATTTAAAATTTGTGAGCAGCCCTAATAAGCATGAAATAAAAACTATAGGGTGCAATCACGAGCCATCCTTTCAGTACAACTTCAATTATACATGAAAGGCATACACAAATTAGTAAACAAACATAGCAAAAAAAGGATGAGTGCTGAGCATAACTTCAGACAAACCTGTGAATCTCCATACTTAGAACCAACATATACAACTGCATTATCAAGATATGAAATTGATGATGCAACTGAGGTCTCTCCTAGGTGCTCAATTTTTAGCCCAGTGATCCTGACATGTACAAGGAAAACCTTAGTCTCCAAAAGAGAATCATTAGCAAGTTAAACTAAGCAATATATTACTACTTTTGAATGAAGTTGTCTAAACACAATTATTCTACAATCTACATTGTCATATATTATCGCATACCTCTCTCTTTCATGGGAGATGACAAGTAAATATAAAAGTCCAGAATTATCGCCAAGCAAAAATCGAGAACCATCAGGGTCAATCCTGCCATATGCTCTGGTAATTGACTGAGAAGACAATAAATGTCTATAAATAAGATATGGGGAAAATATATTTGTACGGACAAAAAGAAGTGGATTTATAAAGTAGCTAAAAGCTTAGAAAAGATTCATGTAAATAAGGAGTATATGAGTACCGGTCTGATAGGGATAGCCTTAAATGAAGAACCATTGCAATACACGATAGTCTCCTCCCCAATGATAATAACACCACCTAAAGGCAATGGAACAGGTATTAGCAGACCAGCCCCATTATCAAGATTGTTCTGCGACCATGGACCCTCGATAAAATCCTTATCCTTGAGTGCAACCTCATATGTCTTAAGGTGACGGGCATCTTTGTTATCCTGCCATAATGAAAGATGCAGTATTATTAATTCTATTTTAAATTTCAGCTTAGCATATCAAAACAATCAAGCGCTTGCAAGCTATCAAACTTCTAGGTATCATTGCCATTAAAGGTCTTATCAATGAAACAAAATATATGCTAGAATGTGTACAATTTGATAAACAAAAACCAATATGATAAACAAACCTGGTAGAGGACTGCAATCGTAGGTTTTGAACACCCATAAAGAAACTTGATATCCAAGACTTGAAGTTCTTCGAGTCTAAAGCAAATAATATCATAAATGTTGTAATCACGTCAGAGAAAGAGTACATGACAAAGTGATCAATATTTAAAGAAGTAATAAAAAGTCCAATAGCCATATAACATCAAAGCAAGCACAATGTAGGCATGCAACTTCAACTCCAGCACATAAAGAAGGTGAGTTAAAAAAATAATCTTGGCGAACAATTCAAATGGAACAATAAACAGAGGCATGACATCCTCAGAAGTCCCACTTAACAAGATCCAAATGAAACGGAGTACCTCAGATTTTACACGAAATCATCATAAAAAGACAAAAAAAACTTAAATACTGACTCACAGGTCCAAGATAACAGAAGATGACAATTGTCATACTTAATAACCGAGTCATTAATGCACTAGAACCAAAGGAAGAGATGATTTTCATTCAATTGAAGGGACCAACTCAAAACAAATATGATAAATAAAATTAAGGGAGATTTTTAATAATTTAGAACAATGATATCTACAACAGTTCCTATAAAAATGCAAAAATATTAAAAAAAAGGGATTTTTACATACATGCCACTTTATAACATGTGTATTACATATTTAACACTCAAAACTTAAATATTTCATTTATACCATTCAAATACAAACTTAACCTCAAAAATACCACTCCCTCTCACTCCGTCTCTTCTCCGCTTCATTTCACGCTACCCCGTCCTAAATTGTCTGCTCCTTCGGCTCTTCCCACCGAACTTTGCTATTTGTGTTAAACCGCCATCTGCATGAAAGGTTATTGCTTCACGTTTTTATACTGGGAAGTTTCGGTTGGATAGCAGGTTACAGAACTTTCATTTAGATAGAAGCAGGTTACAGAACTTTCATTTCGGCTGGAAAGCTTCAGAAATTGTAGAACAAACTATGAGCTCAATGAACAAATTATGAACAAACTAGAGCTTCAGAAATCTGATATTAAGCAGGTTATGTAAATCTGATATAACTGTGCTCATGTTTAAAATGCATAAAAATCTCACCGGTTCTCCGTGAAAAGCACAGGCGGGAATAAAGTTTGCTCGCATGGAAGAGCAGCAAAGTTGGAAGAGCAACTCAGAGGGATACACAAGGTTTCGCTGAAACCTGTTCTCCCGCGAAAATTACAGGCGGGAAGGAAAAAAAAACGGAGTGAGGCTGCTGGTTAACGGAGTGGTAATTTTGTTGTGAAAATAAAAAATAGGTAGTAGGAGTGTAATATTTAAGAATTAGGTGTTAAATATGTAATACACATGTTATAAAGTGGCATGTATGTAAAAATCCCAAAAAAAAAACATTAAAGAATAGATTTGCAATAACCAATATCCACAAATGGCCTTTTATATATTGGAATAAGGGATAGAGGGTGAGCCTAGAGAAGTGATTAGTTGCCTCCATTATAATATGGTGGCCATAAATTCAAATCATGAAAATAACTTCTTTTTTAATGTTATAGTAAACACTCTCCATAGCCTGCATTGATGGGAGGAAGAGAAGAAACAAAGGTGCTAGGAAGAAGAAGAATAACAATAAAGTGAGGAATGGGATGAGGATAAGGTGACTTTTACTCAATAAAGGTGTCAAGGAGGAATTCATATTTTCGAATTTTATGCCTAAGGTACTGAACCACTACCCTCGATAAGTATGATTTCAATATATCCAGTTCAACTGAACCAAACCACAATTAGCAGCCGCACGAGCACGAAAGCGAACAAAGCCGCAGATGAGCAAGTCGATCATACCATACACGTGCGTGACCACACCTGGACTGGTTGGATAGCATGATCATGTGAACGGACGCATGTTAGAGTGAAAAGTAACGACTCCTCATGGGAGATATCTTCGTTTCGCTCACTCCAGTGAAAGCAAAACACGTGAGAAGCTTGTTGCCGAGAGGAAGAAGGGAGAAGGAAGGTAGGTTTTCAACTTCTTTCATTTTTGTGCAAAATTCTTCCATAATTTAAACATAAGAAAGAGTACATATTCAAATGAGTGCAGAGGAAGAAATTTGGAAAGAAAAAGAATTTGAGTTGGAAATTCACTCTTTTCTAAAGCCAAAGAAAATGTAAGTGGTTTTTTGAGTTACTATGTTATTTCTGTCAAATTTAGAGAATAAATATATAGAAGTTTATTTTGATGAAAAACAATAATATCTTATTTTCAATAGGAATAAAATCCATACATGAAGAAATCTAGTGGGTGAAATTCATTTTAACGAGCAACGAGGAAAGATTTGATTTATTGAGGTAATTAAATATAATTTATTATTTATCTTTCAATCACATTAGAAATTATTAGTAGATTATGACCGATATCTTTGAAGTTATTCTTAAAGATGCCAAATCAATTTAATGTTATTATGACGATATTTACTTTGGTAAAGCTATTCAGCAATGATTAATGCAATTTAAAATTATTTGGAACAGTGGAGGATTGGATTAACCTAGTGCATGAAAGTGAAGCAATAATTTATGTAATTATGAAATTTAGAGATAATAATAATTTATATAATTATGTGCATAACTTTTGGTTGCATTAAGGAAGGCTATCTCAAGTATCAAATATTTGAAAGGAATTGAAACACGAGAATAATTAAAATGTGTAATTACAGCTATTTATGACAATTACATATTTTATTTTCATTTCAATTCTAAATGTGATATCATGTATATTTGGTTATTTATTTATATTTGAATGCTATTATGTTCATGGTGATGTCAAATTAAAACGTATATGACATGATCAAAATTAGAAATTAAAATTATTATGTATTATGTAATATGAATGTTAATTTATATGTGAAAGGTGCATATATTAGTTTAAAATACATATAAGGGAAAAAGAATGTGAATTAAAAGTGTATATCAAGGTTTAAAATTGCGTATTCGGGTATTGAGGCGTTTTTCGTTCGTGAGGCGAGGCGTAAGCCTCAAGGCGATTTGAGGCGTAAGCCTCAAAATCAAAAAATTGCGTAAACATAAAATAATAAATTTTGTATATACTAATGAGTAAATAATATATAAAACATAAAAATGCACAAGATAAATAGCAATGACATTAACATATCACATAAGAAGTTAGGAACTCACTAGTCATTAGCATTATCATCACTCATCAGTCATCACTAAGGGGGATCGTATTCTTATGCCGTGCCCGATTATAAAATATGCAATCCGTTCGAGGATACAAAAAATTCTCCAACAGTGACTCATCAGCCTTATGAAGGATTTTAGTTGTTAACTGTTTATTTATTTGAAAGAAATGAATTAATCATCCGACTGTTCGTTCCTGTCTTGTTAATTTGAGTTTCCGGGCCAGGTCGTGATAGCTTGATAGGCAAAGGAACAAATAGTAGCAAAGCAATTTATCAAGCATGCTTCTTAAGCAAGATTAAATGCAAAAAAAATATGCCAAATCAATTTTCAAAGATATGCATAAAGTTCTTATCTTTTTTATTATTGGTCATGAAAGAGCTTACCAAATGTATTCAAAGTGAGATGCCTTAGAGCATGCTTTTGGAAGATGACATAATTCTAAACAGTGGGATATTTATTAAAATAATTGAACATTTACAACAATGATAAAAATAGTATGCTTCAATTTCTTAGAATAAAAATTGGGTAATATGATATATAATTTTAATGGGTGTGATAAAAAATAATTATCAACTAATAATATTAGTAGATAAGGTCATACATAGGTGTAAAAAATTTTAGTATGTTAAATATAATATATAGAAGAATGATATAAATAAAAATATTACTTCTAAAATTAAAAATGGTTGATTATAATAATGAATAGACCCAAGAATATTAAGTGATAAAAGGATATCACTTAAGTGAAATAAAACATTAATAGCTAAATTGAGTGCAATGAAAATGAGTATGACAAGATTGATATGTGATAAAACTATAAAGGATAAATTGAAGAATAATTATATCAAAGAAATGATTGGTGTGAAATCAAATGAAGATAATATAATGAAAACAGATTCGGGTTGTTTAGATATATATAATTAAGGGAAAATACACTCATCTGATAGGTAGATAAAATTAATGTCAAAGGATTTGAAAGAAAAATGAGTATACTTAAGGGAAAATGCACTCATCCAATAGGTAGATAAAATTAATGCAAAGGATTTGAAAGAAAAATGAGTATACTTAAAGTATCAATGATAGAAGTTATTCAAATTTTGTTGTGATGATAAGCTTAGCACCTCAGGTAGCACTCAACAAGATCAAATGGAAAATGAGAATTCATAAAGATGACCTCAAATAATTGAAATAATGCTAATGATGATATGGCACTACACTAATGACAATGATGATGATGATGATATGAATATATATACAAGTAGAAGAAATGGAAACTTGTATGCATGTCATCTTCATCTTTGGCACCATCAATACATATGTGAGATCCTTGAATACTACCACTTCATCAACTCCCTTGCCATAACACCGCATATCAAAGGAGTTCAAGTTATTGTCATAAGAAGAAAATTATTAATAGTATGGGTTTTCAATGAAAACGAATAGGAGCCATACCCAAAATACATCATATGCCTTAATGTGCTAGAGGATTTCATAGCTATAGTTCAATTTCTAGAAAAAAAGGACGTTGAACTCGACAATTGTTCTAATTGAACCAATAGAATGCGGCGAAAATTGGAAAGCAAGGAATGCAACGTTGCACAAAACCACTTTAAGATGCCTCGACTAAAATTAAAATCATTTGATCACTGCTCACATTGCAAAATGAACAGCATTGATGTGTTTGGAATGTCACAAATAACCAAAAACTAACCATATTACATGGATTGCTACACGAGATGAATTTATAAATCTACCAGCACTCGACGATGACTCAAATTAGAAGTACACAAAAGCATTGCAAGAAATTAAGGCACAAATGTTAATTATTATTCTTATTTTATTTTAATTATTATTTTAAATAACTTTTGCTTAAGAAAAATCTTTTAAATCATTCCTCTTTGTCTCCCCATACCTAACACATTCCTACCGTACTCATGCCCCCATGCAGAGATGTGAGGGACATTTGGCCCACATCTCTTAAAAAGGGGGGATGGAGAATCCAAAATAGGATGAACCCCTACCCATCACCCTCATTCACACTCCCGATCACCCTTCTCCACCTTCCGCCTCTACCAAATTCCTAAAATCACCGCCAATAAAAAGGCGAGGAGCAATGTAGGGAGCTTACTATATAAGGTATCTACAAGACTTGCAATGCCTAGAGGTGTAGAGGTTGTGCATGAAGCTCTCATAAGAAGGGATCTATGGGACAAGCAACTTGTGAAGCAAGTAAGTCAATCGAATGTTGCTAGTACAAGACCTCAATAAGACCAACAACACATGGAGATGAACAGAAGCTCATGAGATGTGCAAAGTTAAACTTTACTCAGACCCTGATGCCTATAAGCCCTCGTCGTCTCCCCCACAACAAACTCATCGATCATCCTAACTCTCATTTGTCCTCTCTTCTCTATTTATCTCTCGCCTCATCTTCTCCTTCACTCTTTTGTCCTCACCTTCTTTTTCTAAACAAAGATATCCAAACAAAGAAGGAAGAGATATCATGTGTTCACCTAATTAGCTCACCACACGTTCGTCTTTTCCCAACACTATTTTGCAAGTAAGGTATAATGCAAAGCAAGCTCACGTCCCCGTGTAAGTACTCTTACAAGCATTTATTGGTTGTGGAGAAATCCTATGTTGAATTACATATTTCTCATGCATGTAGCCCATACATGACTTTCTTGACATGATCAGATAAAGACTCATATACACCCTTATTGGTGCAATGGGGAAGAAACCCATAACTGCCGATAATGATACTTCAATCAGGTTGGGTAAAGTCCCTGCACTAAGTAGATCAGAATAAAAAATAACCCAAGATAACAAACCCATGAAATATTGACCGGATTCATCATCATTATTCCTCTTATCATATGTTTTATAACTAATAGTGATAAATACCCACAATTTAAAATGACAATCATTGCCACAACACACTAAGCATTTAAAGCCTATTGACTAACCTAATCGAAAATTCTCTCTCGTCATTTACAGGTGTAATTATTAAAAGGGTTTGTACCTATGGTAAACATAGAACCAAATTATAAAGTCCTCACAAAATGAGGCAAAACTAAGAGTAATATCTTATCTGCAATCTAATATATCTTTTGAAAATTTAGCCTGAATCTTAACTCTCTCAACAAAGCCGAGTGCGATATTCAAAACTAGTAAAAGAATGCACATGTTAAGGAGAAGATGGTTAGAGGTGCTTAGGTGGATGTATCTCATGTTGAACAGTCTATCCTAGTGTTAAGATGTACAATTGTAACATTCCAAATGAAAAGTAACTACTTCAAGGTACAAACTACAAAGATTTAGTGGCACGTACACTTTCGCTATCAGTAGATTCACTTTAATGTATAGCATGTGTCCTCTCATAAGTGTTGAGTTTATGCACATCTAAATTTGTGTGATTACACGATGTATAATCCTTCAAGATTTTTAAGCTTAAAGAACTTGGTTTGGGGAGGGCTCAATGAGATCTAAAACATTGTCAAATCATTGAATCAAGTGTAAATTATTAAGATAATGCCTCAATAATGTTATCAGGATAAGAAAACATTTCAAAATAGAAAATTTTAGAATAAATATAAATTTCTCTGAATCACCTTCTTGGTTAAATACAGATATTCAATTATCTTGTGGATAAGAACAAGTTAAAATTTTGTTATTATGGCTTTAACTCGAAGTTAATTTAAACTAACTTTTGCTTTTTGATAATGAATTCTTGTGTCCTTAAACTCTCATAAGTAGGAGCCAGAAAGAATTGTAAGGTGTTAATTTCTTTTCTTCTTTATTTGGTCATGAAAAATAAGTGATGATAGAGATCAATTGTACTTAAAGGCTATTAAGTCGAGACAGTTGTTTAAGTAAAAGATCAGAGATAGGGAGAGGTGAAAGAAAAAAAAAAATGCTCGACCCATTTGTGATTATGGAAAATCATCTAGATGGGGTACAAGAAAAATGGTGATGATAGGCAAGTTAGTGGGGCCATTTTTTAAAATGTTCGGAGTGGATGTCTTCTAGTATAATAAAGATATTGTGAGGTTATTATCTCTTATGTCATTATTATATTTCTACAATATAATAAAATGTTTTCAATTTTATTTTCCTTGATAGATTTAATGTGTAGCCTTTCAATTTATGACCCCACGTAGTGGGATAAAGGCTTGATATTGTTGTTGTTGATAGATTTCATGTGTAGCCTCTTGATACTAAATTGATTCCTCTCTCATCTCCAATGGATGTGAAATATTATTTTGGCCAAATAATATAAATCTTGATTTCTTCTTATGGCAGTACACCTCTTTATTATTACTTTATATATTCATCCTACTAGTTCGCATGGGGGATGCCTACATAAATAAATAGGCTTTCTAATAACAACCATCAAACCACCAATCAAAGCTAATAATCTCGATATATAAAATTGGTATCAAATAGGAGTAAGAAATAATAATATTTAAAATATTAATTATCAGATATTCAAATTTTTGAATGAAAATGAATAATATAGAAAAAAAGCAAAATTTAATATTATAAAAATCAAACCAATGATTTTATCCTGACTACTAAGTTTCCCATAAACAACGTAAAAATTTGAAGAAAAAAAAAGTTATTTCATAACACTTACATTAGTTGATAATTTTATTAACATAACTGACCAACAAATAAAACTTGCATATGGCTTTGATTTAAATCTTGAGATCAAGGACAAAATATATATGAAAAAAAAATAAAAAATTATTATAAATAAATTTATACTGTATTGTTAAATTATATATGTATATAAGAAACCAATTTTGCTCCTCAGATATTCCTCATATACACTGACGTCAAAAGCCTTAACATGTATGATCAATCCATTCATTTTCATTTAATTCTGAAAAGTAATAGTAGATTATTAAGTTTAACCACTTCAGTAATTTGAATATTAAGCTTGGGTCGAACAATAGAGGTTATATATATAATGCTTACGTTGTCCACTTTTTCAGAAAAAAAAAAACATACACACAAACACATGTACCAAGAGGGGAGTCATAAACAGCTATTTTATCTTTTATAATAGCTATCCTCATGATGTTTAACCCGGCACACAAAAACTTAGCATGCAAGCACAGATTATAAAAACAGTACCTGATATTGAATGCTTCCTTCAATTGCCCTTTGTTGTCGAACGGTATAACCTCATAAAACAAAACAACTGCAATCAGCGAAATATTATATAATGATCCAACTAAGAAGGAATGAGAAAATGATAAGTCCGCATTCATGGGGTACCTTGAACAAACCATCATATAAATGGAGTCCAATCAATCTACAATCAGGATCAATTATGCCAATCTACGAGCATCGAATCAAATATAAATAAGTAAGATTATATACAAAAAAATATCAAAAGAGACAAAAGAAACATGTAGAATAACCTATGATTGTAGGAATAGGAAGAATATCAACTTGTCACGACCAGACAACATTCGCTTCATAGGCCAAAAGGTGATTTCTAACCTAATGTGTTTGACAAATGATCAAATTCTCTGCCTAGTAGATTTCATGAGCAAAACAATCTTCTTTAGTAACTACATAGAAAATGAGGTTTCAGACATGCCAAGCATCCCAAAAGATTTTTACATGAGATTTCAGACAATGAAACCTCATCAAACTCGATACATCACACAAAAGGTTTAATGGTCCTATTACCTACACAAATTCAGCATAACAGCCTAAAACTACAAAAACTAAAATAAAATGCAAAACCAAAGAATCAACAAATATGTGTTTGGATTAAAGAAAAGTGGAAGAAATGAAATTAAATGGGGCAACTTGTGACCTATTATAAATATTAATTACTTCAATATTTTCAAACTTTTTTCATTTGGTTGAACTAAACTTCCTGCATCCAAACAGAGCTCCCAAGTAATTGCATATACAAAACTGAACCAAACCAATCTGCATTGAGAACAGCACATTTAGCAATCATAATGGTTCACGAGTAGTGATGATCTCTGTTTTGATATTCTAGCCAGACCAAAAATCATCAAACCGAAGGCCCAGACCTCAGTCCTACTAGCGAAGGCTCAAACCTCCACACAAAGGCCCAGTAGCTACGCCTTATAGGAAAACTAAACCCTGTAGACTCCAAGGGCCTTCTAACCTACTTTCGACTAACGTTTGACTAAGGTTAAATCATAGTAAAATTAACCCCAAATCGAACACAAGGATCCCCACTGAGTATTCTAGTGGAGTCAACAGGGTCAAATACATCAAAGTAATTAACCTGAGTCAACCCAACCTCAAGGAACCTAGGTTTACCTATAGTCAACCTTAGACCATAGTTAACCAAAGTCAAAACCTAACATAACTAGGTCAGAACAAATCCTAAATCACTATCTAGGACTCAACCACAATTTTGCTTATCTTGGCAATAGAAATAAGGGCTAGTGAAACCCTATAGGACCATAAGACTCACTGGTGATCCATGGTGAACCAAAGAAAAACTAAACCTAAATAAGTGAAACTATAGTTTAAGGATAATAATAGGCTAATATAGGCTAATTCAACCTAATCTAGGCCTATAATGACAGCATTAAGACTTGCATAGACCTAAGGAACTCCTAAGTAACCTAAGGTAGTAAATCTTAAAATCTAATAGGGCAATTTCACCTAATTAGACCCTAATAGATTAGCCCACATTAAACTAGGCTTAATAACTTAGACCAACTGACCTAAGACTTCTAGAAAACTTCCTAAAACTAACCCTATCCACCTAGGAATTAAGATACATAGCCAAAGCCATAGCAAAATAATACTTTTGTCCTTCGGGATAATATATTAGTTTCTATGCTGCGCTCGATCACAAATAATCTCAATGCATTAAGAATGACAAAATTTTTCCAACATCATCTAGTTGTGCCTAGAAAAAAATAAATTTGATCAGGTATAGAACCAGAGAAAAAGAAACAGAAGTAGCACAATATGAGCAAGCATTGGCTGCAGAGAGATTCAAGGTGTCACTTTGGTTCTTCCTAATTATATTAGGTGCTGAAGTACAAGCTTCGGACCACATAGAAGTGAGCAACTCAAACTTTTATTATGATAAGTGAAGTTTGAACTTGAAACTTGAAAGCCCATTCAGAATACTATTAAAAAGAAGCTAGGATTGCACTCATATAAAAGGAAAAATAATAGAAGTTGTACAAAGATATGGTTAATTTAAAACAAAATATATCTAAATTATATTCCTTTATAATTCGAACAAAATCCAAAAATATAAAATTGGGTTCATTTATTTCATACAAACCAAACATATTTATATTTGAAGTAAATCACACCCTGCAACCAGAAGCCTCTAACAGTACCATCAGTAATTTATGTACTATAATTCAATCTGATTGAGATGAATTTACAGTTCAGACGATTCATAAATAATTATTTCAGAATCTAGAGACTGTCAAATATAGTTCCTTGAACCACAATTCAGTCAAATCTAAAAGTAGCATAAAGCACAATATTCACGCAAACCACAGAACAGGACACAAACACTTTGAGTTTTTTTTTAATAAGATCAACTCTCACTTAAATAAGAAATAAGAAACAAGGAGACTAAAGGCCAATTTACCTGCCCATTGTCTGTTGGTCGACCAATACGATCAGAAACATCCCCCATTGCTCTGCAAATCACAAGTGGTATGGCTATTTTGTATTATTACACAGTTACACTTGAAAATTCCAATTATGAGATTCCTTTCACAATAACAATTCATAGCACCTAATATAAATAAAATCATATCAATGGAAAGAAATCTTTCAAAACTAGAAAAATGAAGGAAAGAAAAAGAAGTTTTCAAGCATCGACCATTGATCTGGTAAGACAACCTTGATAGGCCTGGTTCTGCTTTTACTTTTGTCACAACACCACTTTGGATAGTTTACCATTCATGGGTTACTTCTCAATTTGATTATAAGTTGTTCTAGCAAGCCTTTTGACTGGGTGTATTAAATCTTTTATATTAATTCCAAAATTACTTTACCTTGATTTATTTTCTTATTGTCACTAGACTTCTGTGGCTAAATCTTGAAACATGTAAAGAATTTGTACAGTATTTCTTAATCGCAGAACAATCATTTTCAAAATAAAAAAAACACTAGATAAACTATCTAAGAAAGTTCAATTCTTTCAATTTGAAGAGTGATGTAGGCAAGGGGGGGTCAAAACAAGTTGGATTACATTTTTGGTGAGCCTTAATATTCCCTTCTAAATTCAGCTCATAAATGCTTATTCTCTACTCTTTCAGCTCATAAATCTGAAATTAATTGAGGATTTATTTGATGCATTTCCCCTAGCTTTTGGCCCTTTGATTTCTTCCCCTTTGTCTTCTTGGTTTTCCCCTGGCTGTTGCTATTCCCGTGACTTCTTCTTCTCAGTTCTGGTTGTTGCTGACTTGCTGTTTCCAAAATGTATTCATTTCCCCTTGTTGTGCCGTTTGCTCTCTGTTACCTAGCTACCCATTGGGATTTCTCTGTTTGTCGGTTCTGTTTCTAGCTGCTGTCCCGTGAATATCAACCAGTTCCTGGGAGGTTTTTTAGGATGCTTTATGGTTGACCCTTGGCCTTTCAATCCATGTTTCCTGTGCAGTTTTTGGTTGATGTTTTATAATAAATGCTAGCATTTTGGGAGCTGTTTTTGGATAGAATTTGGACAGCCTTTTGCCCTTCCTCTTCCCCTTAGTTGATTGGTTTTAAATGAAATTTTAGGTGGCTGTTTGGCTCCCCTTTTTGGGCCTATATATAGAGATGTTTTGCAAATAAAAAAGGTTGGTTGTGATAATGATTTTTGGAGATAAAACCTGAGGGTTTTTCTTGGATAGCTTGCGAGCTATGCCATTTCTTCCTCTCCTTGTCTAGGAAAGCTTGCAAGCTTCTCCTCTATTTCTTCTCGGCTTCTAACCTATTTCTTCTATTCGCAAGCTCGAGATCACCTGTATCCTTCTTCTCAACGGATGAAATGCAGTTTTAGGAGTTTATGTTAATGTTTGTAAGTCCTCTTTTATTATAAAAAGTTGTATTGTTTCTTATTTTGTCAAGTATATTGGTAGTTTTGTGTATCCTTGTTATCCTATGAAGAGATGTCTTTTGCTCGCAAAAATTTGGGGCTTCTCCCAAATTTTTGCTTGCATTAAAGAGCCTCTAGAGTCTAGAATCAAATAATATGACCGATAGGTTCTCCATCCATGAAGCAGACCATTAGCTCGACTTATTCAATTTTTCCAGTATTATTCCCACAAAATGCTTACTAAATAATAATGTGTTCCTATATGAAAGGAAATAGATGGAAAATTACTAATGCCACTTGTGCTCTAAATAATCAAACACAGTCCCTAAGAACAATAAAGGGGAAACCCAATGCATGAGATTTTTGCTAAAGTCTGTTTTGTGAAGGACTAGATTTGTTCAGTCGTATCTCTAAATTTCAAAGAGGTTTATTTTGGGATTCAAAACCATAATCTCATCACATTGTAGAAATCTAGAAATTGATACAAGCCTTCCCTCTAAGAACAAATGTAAACCTAATTTGAAACCAAGAAAATCACATTTATTTAGTTATAATACAAGATTTCTTTTAGAATTACAATCATCATTATTAGCCTTATCCTAACAATTTGGAGTCGGCTTTATGAATCCTCACTTTCCATTCATTCCTACTGAACATTGTTGAGCTGTTAAATATACAATAACATCAATAAGCATTTGTCCCACTACAAATGTAGTGGGACAAGATTTCTTTTAGAATTACAATCATCATTATTAGCCTTATCCTAACAATTTGGAGTCGGCTTTATGAATCCTCACTTTCCATTCATTCCTACTGAACATTGTTGAGCTGTTAAATATACAATAACATCAATAAGCATTTGTCCCACTACATGCTGCTACATGAATCCTTTTTCTCCCGTCCTATTAAAAGTCAAATTTTCATTTAAATCTAATAAAAAATGTCATTTCTAATGCTTTCTAACCAATTCTTTTTAGGTCTACCTCCACTCTCTTAACATAAGTTGGATCTAGTATATTGATAGGTACCACTTGAATATTCCAAGTGATTCCTATCGGATCTTCGCCAAAACACCAATATTCCACTGTTTTCAATAGAAAACAGCCACCAAACAGTGGAAAAACTGAGAGAATAGGGAGAAAACGTTGGAAAAACAATAGCAAACAATTGTATTCCACTAGTAGACGATCACAACCAAAGCAAGATACAATGTTCTTCAATTCGAGAGGAAGAACAACTCTCCCACAATCTCCGGCAACGCCAAGAGCCCAAGCAAGAAAACCTAGAACACAAAACTCTTTTCCAAAATCAAGATAATCCCCCCTTTTCCTCCTAACCCCCTAATTAACCACAAAGGAGTTTTACAAAATGTCTAAACAGCCCCTCGCATTCAAAATTTCCCTCCCAAAACTCCTCCTTGGCCCCCGTCGGGTGAGCTCGGTTCCGCCTGTTCCGCCCGCTCTGCGGGTTTCCGCCTCGAGTAGGCGTGGACCGGTCTGGTTTGGACCGGTCCAGCCGACTCAAGTGCCGGCCTAACATATATCTACTCCACCAACTAGGTCATTGGAAGGCCGACATTTTATGTAACAAAATCATCTAAGGCAACTCTCTCTAATTTTATATGCCACTGGAGTTACACCAAACTTTTGCGTGTATATTCATTCACATTCTATAAATAAATGTAAAGCCACTCATCCACCTGATCATCCTCATCTTTGCAGCAACAATAACAACATCGAACATTAATCCCACTAACTTAATTTTATGCTTTTCTTTTAATAACCAACATTCTAGGCCATAAAGCATTGCAGGTTCACCGCCATCTTATAAAATTTTTCCTTAAGTTTGAGGAGTACTTTTCTATCACACAACAAGCCCAATGCATTCCTCCGCTTCAATCATCTACTTGAATTTTACTAATAATATCTCATCTATTTCACCATCGCTTTGAACAATAGACCCAATATATCTAAAACATGTACTCTTTTAATGACTTGATCACCCAATGTCACCACTAGATCTATTACTACTAAAATTTCAGTCCATGTAATTGATTTTAAATCTACTCAAACAAAAACATTTAGACTCTAAGGTTAACCTCCATAATTTCAAAATTTTCACTAATTTCCTCTCAAGTATTATAAAAAAGAAGAACATTATCAGCAAAAAGATACAACAAGTTATATCCTCTTGCAAATGTCTAGTAAGAACATTCCATACTAAAGTAAAAAAGAAATGAGTTTAAAGCTGAACATTGATGTAATCCAACTGAAATAGAAAAATAATTGGTAAAACCACCTCGTGTTTAAACACAAGTAACAACTACTATATATAGATCTTTAATGACTTGAATATAAGCATTATTAACTCATTTATTTTCTAGAACTTTTCAGAGCACTTTTTTTGAAATTTTATCATATGCTTTCTCTAAATCAATAAATATTATATGTAGATCATCCTTACTCTTTTTGTCCTCCATCAAATCTCTCAACAAATGCATAGCTTCTATAGTAGATCTACTTGGCATTAATCCAAACTAATTTTGAGAAAGGCATCATGTCATATGCTCAATTACTCTCCCTCATAATTTTGAAGTATGACACGTCAACTTAAATCCTCTATAATTCGCACACACTTGTGCATCATTTTTATTCTTAAAAATAGGAACCAACACACTCCTTCACTCATCTGGTATCTTCTTAGTCTTCAAAATAATATTAAAAAGTTTAGCAAGCTAAGAAATTATTTGATCTCCTAAGCATTTACACACACTTCTATTAGAATATCTTTAGGTTCTACTAATTTCCACACTTCATTTTCTTTAAAGCATCTCCAACTTCGGTTTTACTAATATGACAATAAATACAAAAATCTATATTTTCATTCAGGGTGCTAAGGTCACCAAAGTCAATTATATTCTCATAACCTTCATTGAAAAGTTTATCAAAATATCTCATCCATCTATGTTGAATATCATATTTAAAAAAAAAAGTACTTTTTGATCTTCATCCCTAATACACTAATTACACTTAAACTAAATCTTTACTTCTCATATCGCTTTGACCAATTCTTCACAAATCATTTTAAAAAATTTCCATCCACGGAAACAAACATCAACCCCTTCTTCTTAATCCTCCAATACTAACTATATCTACTCATCCAATTGAAACATATTCTACCCTATGTTATACATGTTCAAACCACCCCAATCAATTTTCAATTAACTTATCTTTAATAGATGTTACTCCAAACCATTTCTTTAATATATGCATTCTATCATTTATTCTACCAAAATTTATCATGCATCCAACTTAACATTCTTATGTCTAACATGCTCAACTTCGATATCAATAACTTTCAATTTGTCCAACGGTTGGATCCATACAAAATTTCCAACTTAATAACAATTTTACAAATTCCCCTTTAAGTCTCCAAAATATCCTCTCAACACATAATACTCCAAAGGCGCTTCTCTATTTTAAGGATCCAGCGTTTACATTTTTAGAAGTTATATCAATATCTATACCTCCATTATTTTGTATAATATATTCAAGGTCTTAAACCTATTGCACCTACGTATTACTTTATTTAATAATATTGATTAAAATTTATCAATATTAAAACCACAAAATTTGCATACAATAAACTCAATCTTGATTCTACTAATTTTAAGTCCTCTATCTCCCAAACATTTTTGTTCTATTTCTTTTTTTTTTACTTATTCTAGTGAAAATCCAAGCACTTAGAACTATATTATGTAGAAAAAGAATAACACCATGACCTCACTTTGAATATTCTTTGTGAGCATTTTCAAACATCATAAAAAGATGTTGACTCATTATTGATCATTGATATAAAATCCAAATACCATCAAAGAATTATGAACATCACATACTTACGTCCAAACTCATCAACAAAATTCAAAAATTCCAAAATAAATCACATTTTAAGAGACAGAATAAAGGAGATAGATTGAAAGCGGATGAACACGTCAACATGCCCACTAAACCATCATAAGCATAACATGTACTCTAAATCTTTGGATATAATTCAAATAGTAGATAAATATGTATATTTCATCTGAATCGTTTATCAAAAAGAGAGTTAACTCGCAACCTCAAGTAACTTGCACCATTATTAAATTATCTAGGCCACTGGAACAACCCAAGAACAAGATAAAGAATTAGCACAATTTAATTATAAGTGCCATGCCAGTTGACATGAATTATCACAGCAAAGTGAAAATAAAATAGCATACAAATATATATAAATGAAAGAATTATGGAAACATGTTTGGTCTAACTTACTACCTTGTAATTAGCTCTGATGCTTCTCCATCCCATTGAAGCACACAAAATTTGTATCTTTCTGTAGCAATAAAGAGGAGATCCTGAGATTCACCCTGATAAAGGAAAAAACAGAAAAAATGGATAAACAAAAGTACCACGTAGAGCAATATAGCAGAAAACAATTGAAACTACCAGAGGTGAATGCAAACAAAGGAACCCACATGAGGTCGAAAAAGTTCCAGAGTTGCAATTCTTCCGTATATGGGAACATCTAGCATAGGCTGCCAAAAAAAAAATGTAATTGAGCCAAAGCCACAAAAGGGCACAATCTTGAACTATTTTGCAAAAGCAAAATACAAATAAAAGTAACATAGGAAAAATGCACAGCAAGATAGGAACGAAAGCAATAAAGATCACAATTCATTTATGGATAGCCATTATAATAGCATAGTTGGTAAGAATTCATCAAAATTAGCCTTGTCCCAACTATCTAGGATGGCTTTATGAATACTTATTTTGTATTCATTCATGTTGAGTGCTATTTAATTTATTAAATATATTCTATATAAATCTTTGCAAATAACTTTTATCCATCTATCCTTCTTCCGTCTAAATCGTTCAATGTTAATTTTATTTATCAATATAATAGCTGCATTTTCTACTCGTCATTGTATAAATCCAAACCATTTAAAGTCTATTTTACATTGTCTTATCTTTAATAGATGCAACTCTCACCATCCATCCACTATAGCCATTCATCAATTTATCCTTTATAGTTTTACCATGCATTCATCTCATCATTCTCTTTTACATCACAGTCAATTTAGCTGTCATCAAGTTCTTTATTACACAAAAATCAAATCTATAGAAGACAACCAACTTAATAAAAATGTTATAAAAATTATGTTTATACCATCATGATACTCTAATCACTTCATACTCTTAAGATAATTCTCCATTTTAATTACTCAAGCTTAACTATAGAAGATACATCATCATCTATATCTCCACTCTTTTACATAATAATAGATCCAAGAAACTTAAGCCCACCAGAACTAAACAAGGTTTAGAATTGTGCAATAGGGTTCTGAGGGAAATACTTCCGTGAAACTAGCTGTAAGCCTCAAAATAAAAGCAATGAATAGATTAAAAATATTAAAATAAATCATTTAAAAGTAATAATTTGATATCATAATATAACAACTAAAAGAAATCTAAGATAAATAAGTACACATAAAAAAATTTCTAAAAAATAACCAAGTAAACATGTCCTAAATGAAACTAATTATGAGTTAGAACCCCACATTTAAAAGCAACTTCCACTCTCATCACTTAAGGAATTTTCATTAGAGAAATCATCATAATTGATTGCTTTCTAGTGCTCCTCATATCACTTTATCAACATTCTCTCAATCTACTTCATCATCAATCTCAATCGCATTTGCCTTCCCTAATCACTAAATCCAATACAAAACTTATTTAAAATAATGACAATAGTGATCTTTTATAATTTATATTAAATAAAGTTTTATACGGACATTTTATTTTACTTTCTATTTTAATTTGTAATGTTTAGTAGAATAAAAATAGGTTTTTATTTTAAATTAAAAAAATCGCTTGAGCCATTTGGACTTCGAACTATTATTTTTCTTTCAACCCAACACATCAAAAAATGAAAATAGAGGTGTATGACTTAAGGCATGTATCACTAGTTTAAGGTGTGTGCCTCTATTTCCCCGCAATAGGCTACAGCATCAAGGCGCTTTGCATGTGCCTCTCTGAGGAGCACATCAAAGCACAATTTTAAACATGACAACTAAATAATACTTTATGCTATAATAATATTGATGATAATTATAAATCATACTCATTAAAATTGCAAATCATATGCACAATCCTTGTTCTACTAATCTTATAACATTTTTCTACAAAATATGCTTTCCATTGCTCTAATTTTTCACTTATTTCAACAGATGCCTTACTAATTAGAACAATGCCGATAGTGAAACAAAACTGATGCCTCACTTTGAATATCATATGCAATTATCTCAAAAACAAATATGAAAAGACAATAACCACTATTAATCTTTGATGTAACTTTATTGTAATTAAAATTTATTTGCTTGCTTCACAACTACTAAAACTAATTGATAATCATCCTACATATATTAAATAACTTCAATGTAATACTTTTGAGATAATTTTTCCTTGATGCACATCAAATTAACCTTCATAGTACTCGATCATTTGTATTCTTCAAATCAATAAAAAACATATGAAAATTTTTTTTTATGCTATTTAAAAGTTTTCATTAATCATCTTAACATTAAAATCACTTCCATTATGAATCTTCCTAGCATGAAACAAAATTTATTCTCCGATACGGATGGAATTTTTCTAAGCCTAGGTTGCATTATCCTCTCCTATAACTTGATTGTATGATGCATAAGTTTGACTCCTTTATAATTATGAAAATTTTAAATATTTCCCTTATTCTTAAAAGTTGGTACCAAAATATTTCATATCAAATCATTTGCATCTTGTTAGCCTAGAAAATTCCATTAAATGATTAGTTATAAAATTCACAGCAATATCACCCATAATTCTCAATATCTCAAATAGAGGTGTCATCTAGACATAAAACTACACCATAATACATCGACTTTTGAGCTTTGGTTGTGAAGAAAGACTATTTATTTATATTATACAAACGTAAAAATCCTCACTACCTCAAAGGCCCAATGCCCCTCAAGACGGGCATCCACTTAAGGAACAAGCTAAGAAAGAAAAAAGGAACAACGAAAAGAAAAGTAAAACTAAGATAACAAATAAAAAATGCAACCAACAATCTAACGGAATAACAGATAAGAGCATGAAAAGGAAAGAGCTAAATTGAAGATGAAATTGTGGTGACAGTTTCAGGCAAACCAGTTTGTTCGATGACAAAAGTTGAAACAAATGACAAGGAATTTAAAAAATATTCCATATCTGAGCACAAAAAGCTCTAATTAATACAGTTTCAAAGAGCAATCAATTTACATGATCTTTCCTTGCATAATTCAACTATTGTTTACCAAATCAAATACATCACCTTTCAAGTGTAAGACAAGCAAACCTATTTATTGCTCCAAGCCTGCCCTCTAAAGGCTAAGAGATAGAATTTCTTCAAGCATTTAGCTTTTAAACTAGAATTTTGAAAAAATTCAACCACCAATATGATGAGAGAACCCTATGGCTAGACCTAGTCATGAATACAAGGACTGGCATGACCCAATAAATCTAACTAAGCTATATGACAAGCTTGGGAAGCAAAATGAACCCCAATGTGTAAACTGACATGAACAAACCTAGTGCAACTATAGTTTCATGTCAGGTATAGGCAAGTGAAACTCCATGCGATCCAAAAGAACTAGACAAATGTAGGTGTGCGTAATTGAGTTGACCTGACAAAATGAGAGCAAAACCAGGTTCGGACCCAATCTAAATCCCTAGCCTAGCTTGTTCAAAGATTCAAAGTCATCAGACAATATTTCACTTGGCCCAACTCAAGGCTACCGTCCTTCGCCCACCTCTACTAATAGCTGTCTAATACAAGTGCAGGTTTTGGGTAGAAAGTAACTGCATACAAATTGGAACCATGCTTCTCATGAGTGACAACAAAAATATGCCATAATAGTGTCTCTCAAAGATGATAACAGAAACATAACTTAAATGTAATATTTAAAGCATTTCACTTGGTTTATCCTTTTTATTCCTTCTCTAATGCTTATTCAAGTTAATTTGTCTAATTCTGCACGGCACCAAATGTGTTTCAAAAGAATTCTTTGGCAAGTTTATAAAAGCACATGCAATATTCAGCATTACTGTTTCATATCCTTGAAAAAACAGGAAGCTATCTAATTTATAAATCAAGATAAGCCAAGGTCAGTCAAAAATAACTTTGGATACTCGAAGCTATCAAGATATATCTGAAAGGAAAATGACAGCACTTGCTATAATGCAGTCGTTTATGTATCATGTTTCAAATTGCTGTGATTCTCACTATCTTTCAGTTCAACCATGAAAACTAAATCAAAATGCAAGACACGTGATGCCAGCTTCATCCTTAAAGACATGAGCACTAAAAACTACTTTAATCTATTTTAGAAGGGACTGGAAAAAACTTTTCTATTGAAAGAATAAACGACTTGCCATTTCTTGAATTGTAAATAGTGTCATGTACACAATGCTAAGATCATAATTTAATTGCTTACTGAAAGTGATACAATTTCGAAGCTAAAACAAGCAAATGTTATACATATTTAGAACGAAAATGGCATGCATCTAGAAAACAAAATTGGTATACATATTTTGTAGGTGTACAGGAAGTAAGAATAACAAACTCAGAAGGTATGAATATACTAATCATAGAGAAATGATTTCTGTACCTGCAGACCATGAGCAGAAAGCAAATGGATCTCAATGCGAGTGCATTTACTGAAGGACCAAAAAAACGATTTTACTAAGGAGTTAGAATTGTCAAATAACTTCGTCTTCATCAATTGACATTGTCAAAATAACAACTAAGAAATAAGACTCAAAGAAAATTATGCTAAAAAAACCATTAAAGCTACAAGTCATGAGAAAATCACCATGGATTAAAAAAAATATACTAGCAAAGAAAAAAAAAACAACAACGATTCAACAATAAGAACATAAAATAGAAAAATTACATTCTAAAACATCATAAGCTCGGAAGACGGAACCAAAAAAAAAATAAAAAATATGCCACGAACTCTCGCTCGGGAAAACACGGATTGAAGCTTCCATCAAACCACTCATCATAAAAATGCAAGAAACCCATAAAAAATAATAATGATTGCAAAGGAAGCCGCCGATACAAGGAAGCATGGAGGAACAATACCCAAACCTAAAGCCCAAACAAACCCCCACCAGAAAGCAGCCAGAGCAAATGTTGATCACAAGTAAAATTTCAAACTTCGTGCTCGAGCCATAAGAAAACGAAAGCCATTAGACAAGTAGAAAGTAGCGGCGATTACGCGATTATGAGGTTGAGTTCCTGGGGACTGGTGAAGTTGCCGACGCAGGAGTGGGAGACGGCCGTGGGCTTGTGTGCCGTCACCACGTAGTTCCAGAAGCTCATCGCCACAAGCTTCGACGGATTTTTTTCTGTAGAGGCGACCGCAACTAACTAGTCGGAGTGAGTGTTGACGGAACCGGTAGGGTTAAAGGGAGAGGCGCTGAGGGCAACGGAGTACAGAGAATTAAATAATTTGCTCTGGCCATTACAAAAGGATAATTAATCTTATAATTATTATAACGAGTTTTTTTAACATTTTCTGCATGTAATATATATATAATCAAAATTTTCCTTTAATTTTTTGTGAGAGATTAAAATAGTCCCTTATTTTTTTATAAGAGATCAATTTGATCTCTCAACTATTTAAAAAATAGTATTTTTATCCTAACATTAAATTTTGATATTAATTGTATTAAATAACCGAGTATTGTAGTCATTTTTAATTAATTTTTTTATTAAATATAATTTTTTAAAAATACATATTAAACATTTTTTATTAATAATTTTAGTCTATAATGATCTTAGATTAAAATTAGAATTTTTTTTTGAACATTTAAGTCATTTAAGACAAACTCACACACAACGCATACACATAGACTCAAAACCCTAGACCTCTTAGTTGAAAGCCTAAGCTCTCAACCAATAGGCCGAGGAGAGAGCTTAGCTAAAATTTTTTGAAATTTTATTGAAGTAGAAATTTGATGAGCCACAACATTTCTTTTTATGCAACATCATCATGAGTGTATTTATTTAACATAAATAGATACCACTTTCTTAATCCTCTTCATTAAATGATAGATTATTTGATAACATACATAAATTTTTTTTATTTCTAATTAAAATTATTTAGTGAATAATTTCATTAATAAAAATGTTGTTATTAAGTTAATTATAAATGGGAATATTATAAATTTGAATGTTAAACTTTTAAAAGGGCTTGATGTTGAGTTCGCAATAAAGGTACGACTACTTTTTAAAACAACTTTTCAATACAAAAATTTCTAGTTCAAAAAAATTATACTAAAAATTTATTTAAAAATAAAAGATAAAAAAACTATCTCAAATGAAACTTATATCATGCATGAGAATAACTTCGATGATACCAAATCAAAAGCAACTTGCAGCAAGACTAGAAATAAAATATTAGAAATAAGAAGATATAGAATTCGCTTGGGACGACTTTCTTACGGCTGCTTAAAACAACTTTTTAGTATAAAAATTAAAATTTTTTGTATTAAAAAACTGCTTTAAGAAGCAGTAAAAAAACCGTCCGAAACAAAGCCATACATTTCGAAGTTAGAAAGCATTCAAACACAAGTGAGCAACTTTCTGTAACATAAAACTTAATTCCTGGTAATTTTGCACACTTATCTTCTAGTTTTGAGCATTTTATCATCTAACACAGAGTCACAAATTCTATCAGGATATTCTGATGCAATTGCTCTAGCAAAATTACAAGCAATGGACTAATAACAGTTACCATGAGTAAACTAGATAATTAAGTCTTACAGTCTACAAAAGGAGTTTTCTGAAGTTACAATAAAGTTATTGTAGATACACATATATAGCTTTAGATGTCTTCAGAAAGGATAGTCAAAGCACAGAAAAGGTTTTCAGAGAGCAATAAGACTCAATAGTCCAAAGAAGCTACAGGCATGATCTCGGAGCTCAGATTTCTCGATTCTTGCTGAGCGATGTAATTGTCACAGCTTCCAGTTGAAAGCTTTCGAAGTGGTGCAGAGTTTATGAGGTTAACGCCTTGCTTGGCCATCTGCTGCACTTCCTGTAGGGAGAGTATCTTAATACACCACACATTGTTCACGAACTCCCTGGAAAACAATCCAGCAAAACTGGTTAAAAACAAGTGATTTTAAGAATTACTTTTAGCTTCTTAACTAGATATTACTATCACCATCCATTTGATATAATCATTCAATTGATATTTTCTAGTTATATCATATAATACTTTTAGTTTCTTATTTTCACCAATTGCAGACTATTTGTTTACAGGTAAGAAGTGAGAAGGTATGATGTGAGGAGAAGGAAAAACTATTGTGGACTCCGAACATCATCCGGAGACCAACCGAAATGCGCCACGTCATCCCTTCGCTGGATACCGCGGCTCGGTACCGCTGATGTGGTTGTACCTGATTCACCTCCGGACGTAGAGCTGTGTCCGGTCTCCGCACAGAATAATTTCTCGAGGGGAAGTGGCCAGTTCAGATGGATATTTGGTTGGTGGGGGAAGTAGGAAGTGACTTCATCCCAGGTCTTAGCATTTTGACTTCAGGCTCATATGCTACAAATTCACACTTCCTGAAGTAAATTAATCGTGATGGGCTTATCTTTTTGGAATTATAATGTCACTCAAACAAGCAAAAAAACAGGAAGGTGGAAAAAAAATTTCATATCCAAGTGTTTGACGAGAAAAATTCAGCAACAGAGGAGAAATTTTCAGAAAGAACAAGAGAGAGAAAAAGGATAGAAAAGAATAACAAAAAAGAGAGAATTTTGCATATTCATTACTCACTGTTGGAGTAATTCTTCATCCACTGTGATACACATTGCTCCCCTACTGTCATAGAGGTTTCAACCAAAAGAAATTTGTTGCCATTGTCAACGTTCATATCAATTTATGACTAGTTGGGCCGAACTAAATTATTGTCATCAGTAATGTTCATATCAGTCCCCATTCCCAATGGGAGAATGAGAAAAACTTCGCACAACTCCTTATCAAAGATCCGGATGGCCCTAGTAGCTGGAAAGTTTTACCATGGAATACAAACCCAGCGTAGCCAAATGAGTTGAGGATACCCTCTCACAATCCAAACTCTGACACCGCGAAGGAAGGGGGGGGGGGGGGGGGGGGGGGGACGGATACAATACGCGAGCTGCAGGAACTGGCAGCCCATGCATAACCCAAGAACTCCTTGGGAGGGGATCACCACCTAAAATCCTTCATGATACAAGAACCCAAAACAATAGAATAAAACTCAAATATTATTCATCTCTAATCTCCCATTACAAACATTGGCTACAAGTATTTATAGACAATTAAAGCAACATAAAAGGCTACATGCCACCATAAGGAACACTATATCTATATAACCATACAAATTATCTAATGGACAATTAAAGCAACATAAAAGGTTACATGCCACCATAAGGAACACTATATCTATATAGCCATACAAACCACCTAATGAAATTAAACTATCATGAAGTTAATAGAATTAAACAGCTCAGCTCCAATGTCAAAATCTATGAATCTCATATTTTCTATTCAACAATTTCTTCCAGACACTTGGCTGAGCTTCCCCATTCCACAGCTTGACCACATTTTACAATACCATCACCTTATTAAAGGGAAACACCACTACCACCCAACATATAATGATTAAAGCCAAAATCTTCCAGCTGTTGAAGCCACCTGGATCTTTGATGAGTTGCACAAAGTTTACCCCAATCTTGACATTGAGGACAGGGTCATTCACCGACCATAAATGGGAACTAGCGCGAACATCACCAATAATTATAATACTTCAACCTAACTAGCCATAGATTGATATGATTGTCGACGACAGTAATATTCCATTCAACCTAAGCTACCGCAAAAATAGAGGGAGAGACATGCACTATGTTGATTGAAGAATTACTCTTTTAGACAGTAGCTAGTCGGACGGGTAAGAAAATGAATAATAAATTAGAGTCAATTAAATAAGAACAAAATTTGTCATAGAGAAAGATGCTTGTCCTTATTTTATTATATGATTGTTAAAGTTGTTATTAAGAGGGGCATTTGCTATATTCTACGCTAGTAATAATTAAAAAGAAGAGGGATGCGCTTTAATGAGGATAGTGAAAAGACAATGAATATAGAGTTCTTTCAACTTTCTTATTCTCTCATGTTGTGTTTTTCTCTTCTTCTTCATGTGTTCTTCTCTTCTCTACTGTTGAAAATTTGTCTTTAAACAGATTGTATCTCGCATCTCTCTGAGATTTTTCCCGTTGAGAATTGTTGTTTGACATGTAACATTTGGTGCTCTCATTGAGATCCTCCATTAGTAAGGTATTTATTTATTTATATAATTTGTTAATACCCCTATTTAGGAGTATTAGGGCTTCAAGAAATGAGATGACAACCCCCACTTCATATGTTCTTCTTCGTCATCTCCCTTATCTCAATCCTTCATCTTCATGGAGTTTCTGACGAACTAAAATGTATCTCTCCCTCGATCCCCAAGGGTCTTATCATTTGGTGCTCTCGCTAACCTCTAGCCTTCTAGTGCCCTGTTAGTCCCAAAAAAAATTCCAATCCTCATATCTCTGACTTGACACCTCATGTCAATCTTGTCGTTTCACTTACATAGAATCTAATCTCCAATATAATGAAGAAAAATACTAAAAGTTCAATGAAAAAATCCTAGGAGACACAACGGATGTTTGAAGGAAAAATTTTAATAGGGAAGAAAATACATGAGAAGAGAAAAAAAAACTGAATAGAATAAAGAGCAAAATAAGAATTTTGTATAGTTGTTAACTTTATTCTTTTTACAGCTATATGTATCGCTTTCCCTTCCTAATCATTATTAACATAAGATGTAGTCAAATGCCCCTCCCAATAACAACCTTAACAATCATTTAATAAGATAAGTGTCCTCACCTGTAATAAAATTTTCTCTTATTTAACTAAAACTTCTCAACATTTACAAGTTATGCCATTTTATATCCACAATCTTCTATATATATCAGTAGACAACTAATTTTGAAATTTAATATATCAGTAGACAACTAATATATATATTAATAATATATTCTAATAACATTGATTAATAATATTAATATCACCCGTATAAAATTACATGTCATAAACTCAACTTTGTACTTCTGATTATGAGCCTTTTTATATTCTAAATATTTTCTTCTTTGTAATAACTTCCCACTTGCTTACAAGATGTCTCACCGATGAGCACCGGGAAACTAAGAAAGTTAATACCTGAACTACAATTACACTACATAACAATTTTCTGGTGTTGAGAATCTGTTAAGAGAAAATGCAATGAATGAACAAATAATTTTGAAAAGAGCTTCAAAATGTTGTAAAAGAACTTACGGCCATGGATCATCGCCGACAAGAAGAACATCATTCTCCCTGTCGACAAATACAAGCTGCCAGCCTGATCTCAAAGGGTCCTCCAAATCAAGGCCAAAAAGGCGCCCAAGCTCACTTCGTAGCTCAGGGTAGCTATTGTATCTGGTGATATCCAGTGACCTTCCGAAGGTACCTGATTTATAAACCTATAATACAAAAACAGCAAGTTATTGCAAGTGCCATGATAACATGTTACAGATACTGAAGATATTGCACTTTCTATTGGCCACGGATAAAGGGAGGAGCATTTCAAAAAATTGAGAAGGAATATCAGCAACAGTGACATGAGCACTGAATCTCTTTCTAATTTGCAGATATGATACTACTCGTCTAAATGACTAAAACTATCAACCCTTGGTGTCCAAGAATTGAAAACTGTAGACCCAAGTAGAAAGGCATAAATGTTTTTTTTTTCCCATTTGGACATAAATGTTTTATTAAGAATTAAGCATTCTATTGACTTTCTCATGGCTGAACAACAAAAATAAAGAAAAATTATTCAAACTATATAACAGAATATTCAAACCTATTCTTCTATAAGACTAGTCTTCAACTATCATCCTCAAGTACATATTTCTCAAGTATTATTGTAAATAACAGTATAGTTCTGTAAAAACCCAGCTTAAAACTATTAAGCTTTTTGTAAAAGATTTGTAGAATGAAACCACCTAAGCATGTTTCAATATTTCAACCATCGAAATTGTCAAACCTTACATTTGGGAGCAAGCCGCAATAAAAGCATTTGTAAGACAGGCTAGGAGGTGTAATATAAACTGTTAGATCGGTCCAATTTGTATTAAGGGACTCAATTAAATATTGTTTTGGGAGGAACAACTCAATTAAATATTGCTTTGGGAGGGAAAATTTGAATTAGGGGCTGTTTAGAGATTTTGTAATCTTCTTTTCTTTAAATAGTTTCTCTTGTAAGGGTAAGGATTTCATCTTGAATTTGGCTGAAATTTGAGATCTCTTAGGTTTAGGTTTCTTTTGGGCTCTAGCGGCGTCTAGAGATTTGGGAGAGATAGATCCTCCTCTAGAATAGAGGATCAATTGTATCTTGTTATTTACTTCCATAGTTTGTTTGTTTTTTTTTTGCAATAAAATTATTGTTTTTCACTAGTTTTTCATTGGAATTGTGGAGATTTCTCGCTATTTCTCTTGATAGGATTTACTTAAAACCTTCAAATGTTTCCTATCATAAACCAACAGACATATTATCAAATATTCATTCTCAAGATCCTTATTGCATGATAAATCCATTTGTTACAATATAATGGATACAAACAGAAATATTTAAGTACTTTGAAAAAACATTTCATTCTTACATAAGCATAAAGAGGATGGTAATATGATAAAACCTAGCACATGGGAATTGATCTAGTTGCATATACCATTATCAAATTATTTGCAATATGAAATGTGCATGTCAGGAATTAAACAAAAGTTAAAATCGTCATATGGCTAATGGCAGGCAATTGAAAAAGACTCAACTTCATATCAAGAGCTTTATGGTAAAGGATATGCAAACAAAACATAACAACAGATATTAGCTCACCTTCACATATGTTCCATTTTGTGAAATCTCCTGACCAATGTTATCTGGAGAGTGCAAGAGCCCTGACTCCTCTAACCCACCAGAATTGGTTAGTGCTTGATTAAGTTGGAAATCCACTTCTGTCACGCTCAAAAAGTTATTTGCAGCATGGGACACTCTAGCTGTATTAGTCTCACATCCTATACTCCTAAGGCCAGACACTCCATTCTGCACTAACAATGGTGAAAGTTCCAGGTTTGCACCAAAAAGCAGGTGTTGGGGATCTACACCTTCATGGTTATTGGAGCAATCTCTACCTGGAAATGGTGCTAGCATTGTAGTATCTCGCGGAATATCAGAAAACAGAGAACTAAACTGGTCCACCTGCGGGAGAACACACTGAGCTCCAGATGGCAGTAATGGCTCAAGTGCAGTTTGTTTAGACAACCAGGGGCTGGAAGTGATTAGTGGGCTAGTCATTGGTGAACTAAAAAGGTTTGATGTTTCTTCATATGAAAATGGCTGCAAGACACCATTCAATGATGATGTCCCTGGTGTGGAGACATAATTACCATTGGAATCAGGAAAGCTTAGAGGGTGTGAAATTGAAGAAATTTTTTGCAATGATGGAGACAGGGATTGAGACACGGATGGCTGCATAGTCTGACCCAGCATGATACCAGAAATTACCTGATCATAAAATTGTTTGTGCTGTTGCTGTTGCTGTTGTTGTTGCTGTCTTTGGACTTGTGGATTCTGTTGGATTTGTTTTAACTGCTGCTGTTGATCACCAAATGATTGACATTGTTGCAATTGTTGGAGAAGGAAACTCGATTGAGCATGGTTGTGGCCCTGGTTTTCTTGAGAATTTTGAACAAAAGGATGTTGGGATTGAGAATGCTGACTAGCTTGATTTGATAGTAAATTGTTGGGCCTGTTAATAATGCTCGGAGTATGCTGAAACTGCAAATTGGTAGGAACCTGTTTCAAGGGCTCCATAGGCCTCATATCTTGAATCGCCTCTGCAGTCGTAGCCTGGTAAATATCAGGCTTCAAGCCAAATGAATTATCAAATCTTGTCTGATTATAAGGTGAAACACCAATTCCCTGAAAATTCAATGGCTGTACCCCCAAGTTTCCACTATCTCGAAGCCAGGCTAGGGCAGAATTCAGTCCCAGATCACCAATGTTTCCTCCTAAATACAAAATACAATAATAATGAGTACTAATTCAAATATTAACTAAGAATCCTACAACCTACATATGGTGAACATTAATGATGACTGATATATGTTGTCATGTTGAAAAATTCGGGATTTCGGGGAGGAAAGTTGAGAACATTTTAGTTGTGAATTGCAATCTAAGCATAAATAAGAAAGTGCACGAATAAAGCACACCATAAAGAGGGGGAAGCCCTGGAGGCCATGGACGCTTGAGCCTGAGAGAAAAAGGAGAGGGATACATTGGAAATGTAGTTAGAGGTTCAATTTCCCAAAGGGAGACCCTTGGTTGTCTCTCAGCAGCAGTTGATTCATCCCAGCCAACCTGCATCCAATAATAAGCATAAATTTACAAATTATGATACTAAGATGTCAAAATCAACAGCAACTGCTAAAATGATAGTATATGATGTAATATTGAGAGATGAGGATTGAATTTACTTCCTAGAATGACAACAAAACTTAAAATTTAAGCCAAAATTTTCTGTGCATAATAGACATGATTAAGATGAAGAACTTGAGGAATAGAAACATATTCTACCTTGACAGAACGCCAATGAGAATTTGGCCAGTGGACAGGATTCAGATCGCTTATGCCTGTGATTGTGCCCATGTATCTGAAAGAAGAGAAAACAACTATGATAAAATATGAACCCTTCAATGTGTAAAGCTACAATTTAAATAAATGACAACCAAACATTCTCTAGTTTTAAGAATACATTCCAAAGTGGGAGGAAAAAAGAAACATGAAGCCGTGTTTTTACATACAATACAGGGCATTCACAAAGTTCTAGCTAGCGTAATAAAAACGAAACTTATTTCCGCCGTACCTTCTCACGCTTGACTCTTCCGTCTCAAACAGCATTCGAAATCTCATACCCACGGAAACACGAGTATGATAGACTGCTTTAATATACTTCGCTAACGGTATAACAAACTCAGATGGGCAAGCCCTGAGAATATAACAATAAGCATCCTCTGGAAACACAAATCACTATGAATGAATCATTTATACCTTGGATTAAAAAATATAGTAAACCGACTATTGGTAGCGGCAGCGTGAGCAGCTGCAGCAAGAAGGCCTATGTGCATGCTATCACTTGAAATTACCGACGAAGGCATTACTGTTTGTGGGCGATTAGCGCGCCTAATACCGAGAAGTAGTTGGTTGTTTTCATTCCTGATGGGTTCAAGCCAAACCAGACTGAATAGATTAGATAACAAATAAGAAGTAAATTTGGAGAAAAATATGTTAGGTGTATATCCATACCAGATAAAAAGGACAGAATCTCCCGTTACAAGTCTCTTTGCACTTACGAAAACACTCCATCCTGTTGTAAGGAGATGTCTCTTTGGCTGGCCTGCAACAAAAAGAATGGAAAAGTCCGATTATCAATCTGTTCAACATGCTTAGGACATTGTTAATGAGAAAATCGCTTTCTTTGGCACATTATCAACTTAGGAAAAACACCATTATCATTGGACTTATCACAACCATTTAAGATTATCTTTATGAATAATAATAGGCATACCCAATTATTAATTAATACTATTAAAATAAAGCTGCTTCAAATATATATTATCTTTCAAAGCACTGTGCTATAGAACATTCATCATAACTCGTGTTATGAAAATAAGTCCACAACTCCACAGTCATTTCTTCTTAATTTCACACTATTAGACAAAAGTATATTTAAATGCTTCGTTAGGATAGTGTTTCAACTCCATTGCTCTTCCCAACTCAACCACAATGCAATTTGATTTGAGCCGATAGCAAAGGTTGGGAATTCATACAACCTTGCTCACTCCCTTCCAACATTATGCGCCCCAAAAATGTACTTGCAAAGCAGTTCTACCACTTTGAGAGTGGCAGCGATTTATTTTATTCACAGCATAAATCCATATTACCAAATGGTAGTAAGGAAATCCAGCAGTAAATGGTTTTGCTCTAACATGACATAGTGATTTATGGGTATGACTTTATATGCAAAGCTATTAGAAAGCATATTCTTGAACCCAAAAAGTTTAGGTGGTGTTGGAAAAATTTTTTCATTCATCCTCAACGGGTTGAGATATTTTGTGATCGAGCATAACATAGAAAATTATCTATTATCCCGAAGGATAAAATATTATTTTGATATGGACTCAATAACAAAACTCAAAATTTTACGTTTCAATTGAGATTTCCCCTTATTTAATATTTGATTGAATAAAGTTTATTTTATTCTAAGGTATAGATGCCTCATAAAGCAAGGCCAAATGATTAATTACATCTCAAGCATTTGTTACTTGAGAATATTTTTTATTAAACTAGTGGTTTCTTTATAGTCATCAAAACATTGGTTAATATTTACATTTTTTAATTTGGTAAATTCTTATTCAAAGAATTTGTCTTTGAGAATTTCAAGGGAGATTTTATCAACTTTAAATCAAATTTTAGAAATGGAAGGAAAATGTAGGAGAAATTAATTATAAGAAACTCAGAAGTGCTCAAACTATCATATATAGGCTTCAAATTTTTAAATTTGATTTTTATTTAACTTGACTAATTTGATTTAGAAAGTTAGGGCTTATATTTCAAAAATATAAGTTAAAGGAAATGCCAAAAGTAGTGAGGGATTATGAGGTAACTGGAGTCAACCTCAGCCTCAGATCCTAGATCTAAGGGGATGACCACTAAGGGGTAATACCTCAAACATAAGTCTAACAAAACATAAGAGACTTACAAACCTAAACCTCACGTGAGTCATAAGTTAGCCCAACCTCTAAACTTATAACCCTTCCTGAAAAAGGACTGCCAATTAACCCACTTAAACGCTTTTAAAACCATGATATCCAATCTAAATGCAGATGAATATTAGGAAGACAATTTTTATTTAAATGATAGGAGTTACAACTTGAATTTTAGGCCAAGATGTTTGACCATGTTGGTATACAAATGCTGACTCACTGAATATATATTTTTATTATATGTTCCTTATGTGAGAGATTTCTATATGATACACACTGGCCATATATGATCATTTTTCTTTTCAAAATTTAGTTTATTAGAGTGAGCCATCCATTTTTTTTCTTATTTAGAAAATTAATTATCATATATTTGATTTTAAATTGTTTACATATTAATTGAAAGAAAAAATATTTTTTTCCTAAGAGTCAACCGCATAACAAGTCCAAGCCACTCCCACTCAAATAAGTGAAGAAACTTAAGAAAAAAAATATGCATTTCTAATGCGCACTCAGTAAACAATCAATCATGTATATATGTATAATCAACCAAAGCAAGAAAGTAAAGTGTGAATTCTAATTATTATAATTATAATTGGCAGCTGAGTTGTCTACTTGTACAACCCAATTACATTTTTTAGGCTGAGTCTGTAAATGAAAAAAAAAAAGTGATATGGAGCAATAATAGATCTAGTAGAGGGATTGTGACTTTGGGCGATCAAATCATTAATAATAGCACATGTTTTAGATATCTTGGGTCTATTGTTCAGAGTGATAGCGAAATAGATGGGGATATTATTAGTAGAATTCAAGTTGGAAGGTTGTAGTGGAGGAATGCATCGGGCTTGTTATGTGATAGAAAAGTCCCTCTCAAACTTAGGGGAAAATACTATAAGATGGTAGTGAGACCTGCAATGCTTTATGGCGCAGAATGTTTGCCATTAAAAGAGAAGCATAATATTAAGTTAAGTGTTGCAGAGATGAGGAAGTTCAGATGGATTAGTGGCTTTACTCTTAAAGACAATATACGAAATGAGCATATACGTGAAAACGTTGGAGTTGCTCGATTGGAAGATAAGATTAAAGAGAGTCTCCTTAGATGGTTTGGTCACATAAAATGGCGGCTTTCCGAAGACCTGGTTAGGAAAGTATATTTATTATATTAGATTTATATTAAGAAAGGTAGAGGTAGACTTAAAAAGACTTGGTTCGAAAATATTAGAGATGACATTTCTTTATTAGATTTAGATGAGAATTTGATCCTTAACAGGGCACAATGGAGAAAAAAGATTCATGTAGCCGACCCCACTTAGTAGGATAAAGGCATATTGTTGTTGTTGTTGTACAGACTCAACATATAGGTCTTTAAGCTTTGGTTTCTAAATGCATCTAGAACTTCTAGATGCATCCAGGGCTTCGCATAGGGATTAATCATTATGATTCATCTCTCATTCTCTCTTATAATTGTATCCCACAAGTGATGAGGACATCCGACCATTTTACTAGAGACGGGGTCGTCGATCTACGGCCACGATCGCACTATTTTATTTTTGAGTTATTAGTTGTATTTGATTTATTGTTGCTTATTTTCCGATTTTACCCTCACTTGAGAGAGTAGGTGCTTGTGACCCCAGGGCCCAGGGGGCACTTTTGTTTTTTATTTTATTATTGTAATTTGGGCTATTTATAGCCTCCTCTTATCCTTGTGATGGTTAATGATGATTATGAAGAAAATTTTCCTGCACTTTATTTGTGAGTTGTGAGAGTTCTTGAGAGAGCTTTCTTGAAGTCCCTAAGTGAGGGCAACGGAATACCCACCAGCCGCAGGAAGCGTCCGGGCTCGTGATCTTCTTCCTCCGCCATCTCTTTTCTTCCCTCCACCCCTCCTAGTTGCTGGCCCAATAAGACCCCTCTCCTCCCCCTCCTAACCGCTGGCCCCTAGACCACCCTCCTCCTTGCCATCGTCCACAAAGGCCTTGCCCCTCCCCCATAGTAGCTGGTCCACACATCAAACCACAATCCCAACCCCAACCCTACCCTAGCCGCCGGCTTCAACTCCTCCCCATTTGCCTCCAAATTTCAAATTACCACATTATTGTTTTCCATATTAGGTGCAAATCACATTAGGAAAGTATTAAAAGTTTATTCCTTTCATTTGAAATTTCAAATTCTTTCCTAATCTACTATGTTTATTTTAGGAAAGTTACTTAAATCAAATCTATTTAAATTTTAAATAGGATTTGATTTTAAATAATCTTTCCTAATTTAAGACTCCAAGAAAGCAAGTTTTAAATCCCCACCTAAAGCCCCCCTCTTGCCCAAGCATGCCACCAACCCCCTCCTTCCCTCTCTCTATCCTACATTAATTCTCTTCCCCCTTTAGAGCCCAAATTAACCCCCCCCCCCATCAAAGGAGCGCCTTTCATTTCCCTCATATTTGAAATTCAAACTTCAAAACCTCCTCTCCCCTCCCAATCAAATCTGAAATTAAAACTTCTGACTTTAGGAAATACTCCCCTCCCTTCTCCTTAGCCGTCGGCTGGCCCCTCTCTCTCCCCCCTTCCTCTTTGCTCTTTCAAAGTAATTTCCCCCCCAATTATTCCTCCTCTGGATTAATTTCAGATTTACTAATTGATGTCTTCCCTACCAAACTTCCACAAAATCTAAAGTTTCAAGTTCTACTTCCTTTCTCCATTGTATGGCAGATCCTGAACAATACCACAAATTTGTCTACAATGATCAAGGACAAATTAATATCCTCAAATCTCCGTTCTTCGACGTCAACTTGGAGATCGAGATTATGTCAATAGGATCATCTTCTCCTTCGTCGTTGCAATCAACAAACAACTTTCCCCCATTCAGTGGCGAATTGTCTCCAAAACTTGTTAAATGTGAGCCTCTTCTCAAAGTCTTTGTTTTTCTAAGTTTTCCCTTTTATGTGTGGTATCGTAAAGATTGTGCAGTCTATCTCTGTTTAGCTCACATTAAGAGTGTGAGTGAGTGGATCCGATTAGTGCCTAATCTATATGTTAACATAGGGATTTTCTTTGAACTCCTCCATGCTATGCTAATTGTGATTGAAACTGATTATTCGTGATTCTAACTTTTATCTTGTAATTTGGCCTAAGCTTAAATCACCTCTTTGTTGTTTTAATATTTGTTTAAATCGCTAAAATAAACATAATTATTGTTGCTCTAATTAACAAGCATGCATTTTCAGCATCATATATTTACCCACGCATTTTAATTCTACATCAACAAGCTTAAACAAACTTCCTAAGTCTATTAAATAAATTTGAAAATTTAAAAGTCTAAAAATTGCAAAACATAGGGGTTAGAAAACAGTTCATATAAAAGGCAAAGAAACATCACAGAATTGTATGGCACTTAAAGTGTCAAGCCTTGTTTCTATCATATTGATCATGCCTCCTTGGGAGGTTTTAAGCAGCATCTGTAAGCAAGTATTTTTATATTCATTATTTAGTTATCCCCTCTTAGACATAACCACCTAAAGGTTTGGCTTAGAACTTTGTGACCTAATAAGGTAAGATGAATTTCATTAGGAGGCTCATAAAGGACATATAAAGGTTATATTTTAAATGTCATGAGGGGGAGAAGTCATTTGTTTTAAGTAGAACATGAAACTTCAGCCTCATTTAGATGCCTCTAAATAAGTTTTAAAGATCAATTTTGACATTATCTAAGAGGAATGTAGGAGTATGCATTAGATGATTTTACTTTAGGAGATTATCAAATGGTTAAAATGCTTGTCATTGTCCTCACCCAATCAACTTGCAAATTGCAATAATCGTGCTTAGATAATTTCAATGTGTGATGAGGTATATCTATAGACCTTTGAAAGCCATAAAATAATCCACCTTTGCTTTAAAATCTCTTACAAATTAAACAAACATGTTTGTGAATTTGCATATTTTGAGTAAGCAACATTCTTAGCAAATGACCTACAACATGCATTCCTTTAGGATCTGAGTGATGCAATCTAAACCATGCAGCCTAATTTGATTAAGTGTGTGATCATTTGGATTAGGTTTATTCATCACTTGTTTCAATCCTCTAAATTTAGAGAAATATCAAACATGAATTCAATCAATTTAACTAATCATGGGAGTTGAAACACGAACATAAAGATTCATGAAAGACCGCACTGGTTGTTTGTAAGCTTTATACATTAATTAAAATTCATTATTGAACATCTAACAAATTTAGGGAAAATTGCAAATGCTAAGCAATACAAGCCTCGTATATCTTTAAGTTAATTGTGCTATGATTTTTTAGGGAAGTGATGCATTCCATGTGGTGTAAAACCTACACATCATCACACAAGTTTGTGATCAAATGACAATGCCTAGCCTAAGGTTTGATTGTAGGAAAATGTTTGAAATACAATATGAATGTTATTTCATGCATTTGAGGGTCATTGAACACAAGCCCAATGACCGGACGCACATCGCCATCCCCTACAAGCTCTCATATGAGAGCAATACGTGAAAAATCACCGGATTTCGCGAATTTGCAGGGTGGACAGCGAAGATATTGGTTATTTTGGGCTCTAAAAAAAATATAAAGAGTGGTTTCTAGGGTCAATATGCACTCGTAGTAACTCAATATGGATATTCGGTATGCTAAAATACTGTCAAGATCTTTCATGACAACCATGCAACAAGGATCCAATTCACAAAAAACTCTCTATCAGTTCTCCATAAAATTTAGAAAGACCTGAAACATTGCCTGGCAATGAATATCTTTTGATTTAAGGTGAAACTTGTGATTCATCACTTCCATTATAGAATATATTTAATAGAGCAGTCCAAATTTCATAGGTGACTATGGGGAAGCATAAGTAACGCATCATAATTTATAAAAGATGAACATTATCCATCTCTTTACATTCTAATTTTCAGCATATTATTTTTAATATCAATCATCAAACTTCGCAGTTGGCTTTGTTGTTTTGAATGTCGGAGAGCTTTTTATTCGGAAATATGCATCTCCAATAACTATGACCAAATATCCTAATTTCATTTTGTAAGGATGATCCTTGCATTAAAAGAACAGTAACTGAACAATAATAAAAATTGATTTTGTCCTAGATGATTCAATATTATTTCACCAATGGTCAAGTAGTAATCCTTGTGCTTCAAATGAGCGTCTCTCCTCAAAACATAGCTATAATGCAACGTAAGCTTCTACTAAATTTCAACCTAAAATCCCCACATTTCTTTTTTTTAATTTAAAAGTGTCCCATAACTAAGGCTTCATTTGGGACGGCTTTTTTATTGCTTTTTAAAGCAACTTTTTAGTACAAAAATTAAAAATTTTATACTAAAAAGCCGTTTTAAGCAGTAAAAAAGCTGTCCCAAATAAAATCTAAATATTATGATAATAAGTACTGATTGCTGTTGCAGATCAAGAAATTTGTCTAAGATAACATATCTTCTGATTAGAGAGAACCACGAAGAAACTGAACTAGAGGAGGTAGGCTTATGGCATGCCATATTAATTTCCTTCTCATTGCTTACCTCGAAAAATGTGACGGAATTTCCACTCATTTCCATGCAGATCTCTGGCAACCAGTTCTTGTGCTGGAGGCTGCTGAGAAAAATCCTACCAGAACAATGAAGCAAGATTAAAGACATAAATCCATAAATACGGCCGGCGGCCCAGCACAGCAAAGGTCTATAAGAAAGATAGTTTAAAAATAGTCCAGAAGAAACTACCAATGGAGGAAAGACTTTTTCAGCTGCCCGGCGCGGAACAGAAAATCCACCATGAGTACTTGTGTCACTTGCAGTAAGCGTTTTACAGAAATAGTTGGTTGGTTGTTTACTTGCAGCACCCAATTCAGCAGGAAGATATGGATCTTTTTGCTCTTGCTACAGCCATTATAATGTAAAATCATGTCATGACTAACTTAATTTCTTACCAAACTCTAAACAAAAATAAATTACCGGATTCAGCGGTTGCAAAGTCATTTGAGCATAAACTTCATCAGTCTCAACATCAGCCTGAATAATGAATCTCAGAAAACATTGGAAAGTTAGTCCTGTAAGCTCAGGTAACATGATAAAGTAGGAATAGATCTAGGGATTCTCACATGCATTGTAACATCATGGAGTTGACAAATTAGCTGAGGGGGTAGAGATGGATAATTTGGAATATGGGAATCAATCTCCTTGTTGGTGGATGCAGCTACCTGATCAAGTTCAGACAATTTCTTCAATTTAAAACTTTACAAAGGAAAATCAAGGACTTGTAAAAACATATACAGAGGATCTCAGATTCTCCTCTGACAAATCATCAACCAATATACTTCAAATTCCTGGTCCCCTACTTTCAGATTACAAAAGTAGCACAGTAACCGTTTATTCAGAGATCAGAGACATTCACATGGGTAGCTAAATCTCTAATTGTCAAAATATGCAAGAATAAAAGAGCTATATCTACACCAGGCATGGCAAATGCCTACAGAAGACGTGCATATTTAAGAACAATCATTCTCATGCTGGTCCAATCAGATAGGTATAAGATACTTGCATTTTTTGTAAATATCATAGAAATCAAGTGCAAAATCATTTTAATAGCATAAAAGGTCTATTCATGGAAAAATGCCGAAATATACGCATAAACCTAGCACATATTATGCAAGAGCGACTTGTAGGACTGGAGCATAACAAAGCAAGAAGCATAAAGGTCAAAGAAGTCGGTGAGAGCTTAGTATTTATATTAGAGGTGAGAGGTTTTAAGTTACTCATCACCCTCCTTCCACCCTCTTGAAAAAGAATGAATAAATAAATGTCATAAATATGAGCAAAACATTGCATTACCCAGCCAATAGAGGATCGACTACATGCATTTTAGCTTACATAATAACTTCGAAAGATTCACATGCAACAAATAAGAAAAAAAATGGCCAAAAACACTGCATTATACAGTAGAAAAGATTCCTCAATCCTGCCATGCTTGAAAGTTATTAAACTCCAGCTCAACAGACCTGCTCACTATGGCCTTGTGGAAAATAAACCACACGAGTTCCTACCACAGGCAAAGACACAAGAGGACCAGCACATGCATGCCATAACTCAGAGTTCAAACACCTTTGTTCACCTGCAAAGGTTGTTTTAGGAGCAATAAGAAACCAAATAAGCTGAAAGAAGGCTCAATAGTAAAGTAATTGGAAACATTTCCAAGATCAATTTAAGATTATACAACATTTAAATGAAATGAATCTCCTAGCAACTAAGAACCAAGAATAAAATGCTCAAAGATTTTATTCATTATCCTTAGAAACATAGATGTGAATCCACAATATATTCTTTGTGGCACTCCGCATGCAGTGCTCAAACTAACCACTGCGACCAGCAAAGTATTTATGGCAAACTAAAGATACCACTGATGAACTTTAAAAAAATTTTATCTTTTACGAAGAATCTGCCTCAGAAATATGGCTGAAATGAATCTACAAAACAGAAGACCTCTTCAGAAACTCCTACATTGTAATTGTCAAAAAGGAAGGTAATACCAACAAAATTCCAACTTCTTAGGCTAACAAAGGAACAACTTTCAAGTCAGTCATGATATTTACTTCGGTTGAATATCGTGTTATAAATTGCAAAGCTATCTGAATATTTAATGCAATGTTTCAATTACTGGCAGTTTGGTTCAGAGCTATTTTTATGTGAAGTTTCCAGCATTAGCTACTGATTCTAGCTTCTATTTTTACTCCCATTTGTTTCATTCGCTACAATAAGTTAAAATCCAAATATCCCATATTAGCATGTAAGAAAATCAGACAAAATACATAGATTATCAAGCACAGCTGACCCAAAGTTGTCAGCGACAAGTATTCCTTTTATCTTGGCCCTGGTCTAAGGGATGAAACTTAAATTAGCTTACCTTCTTGCGGCTGTTGGGTTAAATCCGAAGAAGACAACGAAGATGACGAGAGCCTCATCTTAACCGACACCGAATACTACGGATGCAGAACAAGCAAACCTAGTTGCTTGTTTTTTTCAGAAACTTAGTACACCTTCAGCACAGATGCTCCATCTGCTAAAAATGGGTTTTCTCTCCCCTGCTAAAAATGCCATCATCTCCAGACCCAAACACATTAAAATCCGAAACTATTCCCCCTTCCTCTCCAATCAGCTCCTACAGAAACAAAAGGGATATGGATCAGGCAAACAGTTGCCCTAAAACTTTCTTCCAGCTTGAGAAAACAAAAAAAAACAAGCTTCCGACCAAATCTCTAGCAAAAGTTGGCAACTTTCTTCAACCAAAGCCAGTTTGGTCCAAAAAACACCCAGCACCAGAGCAATCAGCTCCTAGTTCCGAAGACTGTAAGACAAAAGAAGATCTTCCCGCTAGAACCCGGGCAATATAAGGCGGAAGAAGCTATGCGTAGTCGAACAAATTTGAAAGCAATCCAAATAAAAGATAAACACCGACGATGAAGTTCAAACAAACACGGAACAAATCACCAGTGCGCCCAAGTCTCCTGCAGCTCCCATCAGGTATCACAGTTGGTTCTCTCCTTTTAATCTCTTTCCTTCTTTCTTTTACTGCTCTTCTTCTCGACTTGGATCAAGAACCGTACTTCGATAGCAGCTCTTGAGCTCAGAACACAGAGAAAGAGATGGAAAGAGAGGGGGAGAGAGAGAAAGGGGTTGCTACTGTCGGCTTTAACCTTCCATTTGCTTCCTTTATTTTTTCTACTACGATCAATGGGTAAGAACCAGCGTTATTACACGACAGCGATCGTAAATGAGAGAATTTTGGTGGGTTAGTCAAGTTTTTGTGCAGTTAATCATAGGCCGCCATCTTTTTCTAAGCATTCACTAGTTCTTTTTTCTGTACGACGAAATTTATATTGTTTTTTTTTTATCTCAAATTATACCAAAAAAAAAACATATTTTTTATCATATCAAATCTATTTAGAGGCTATTTAATTGACAAAAAATTAAATATAATATAAAAAAAATACATTGTAAAAGTAATATAATGTATTTGAAATACTTTAAAGCTATTTGAATGAGCGTAAAATAAATACAGTGCAAAGTCCAAAGATAGATGATTAGTAGCGATGGCGATCAGTGGTGGCTATCAATGGTGGTGGTGAGACTAAAGGCTTCGTTTAGAACGGCTTTTTTTTGTTGTTTCATAAAGCAATTTCATAATACAAAAAATTAAAATTTTTATATTAGAAATTGCTTTAAGAAGCAAAAAAAAGTAGTCCCAAACAAAGCCTAATGTTTTGTTTGGGATAGCTTTAGGCTGCTTTTTTTTCTTTCAAGATAATTATATATAAAAAAAAAAAGCTTTATAAAACAGAAAGAAAGTTGTCCCACACAAAGCTTAAGAAAAAAAAAATTAAAGTTGAGACTAAGTAAAGAATTTTAAAAAATAAAAAGAAAAAAACTTATGCATACCCAAAAAGAAAATTGGATGAAATGTTCTAGCATCCTGTTTTTTATTTAATTATATTATTTTCAAAGTATATTTATTGATCGTTTTTTAAATAATATTTAATCCATTAACTTTTATCTTTTATATTATTATTTTGTAAATAATATTTTATTAAAGCATTTAGATTTGGCTTAAAATTTATTAATATTTCAAAAATAAATTAAAAAAGGTAAATTGCTTTTTAATTAAATATAATTTATAAATAATTATGATAAATTAGTTACTACTTGTTTGATTTGCTAAAAGAAATATAGGTGATTTTTTCATTTTTTTTTGTTTAATTATAAAATTTTAGTGATTTTTTTTTCACTCTAGTTTATTTTTAATATATTATAAACTCGCCCAATTTTAAATGAATTATTTTTTCACCGCAAGCTAACTACATTGCCATTGTTCATCCCATGCTAGCAACATTGTCACAGTTTGTCGCCCTCTATCATCTACTCCTCTCATTAAGAGTCGATCGCCCTCCGGTTAGTAGTCGCAACCACAACTACCTGTCATCTACCACTATTACCAATGAGAAATTATTTTGTGCGGAGTTCAGACCGAAAGAACCATCAGACATGCGAGTATACACACTGTGTACAATTTATTTTTTGTACACAGTGTATACACTCACAATCCGGACTGTTCTTCCTGTCCTGACTCCACATGAATATTGACCCCTGGCGACCTGCGTTGTCACCGACCGCCACAGCCACCAGCATCATTTAACTTTATTTCATTTATTTTACATCAATTCAAAAAAAAATGATAATATAAATTTCTCATTTATAGTTACCAAAAAAGATATTTGAGTGTTGATATGCAAAGATACTATACGAATAATAAATGAGAGGGAGATTGATTTTATGATTGGATGGGATAAAGTTTGGGTTTTTATGCTGGGCGCACCTATTGATCTATCATGGGGAAGAGCGATGAATTTGAAGGGTGGTGGGGCCGCGTTAGGAGTATGGCGCCGTGGGGTGGGGCCCAGCTCTCCGCGGTTCCGTCTAACCGGTCGCTATCAACGTACGGCGTTAAGAGGAAAATCTTAGGAATTATTTGCACGTAAATGGATGCACCCAAAATCGTACCCGCGTGCTAGTTAGGGAACTGCATGCCCAGGTGCTTCGGAATGATTGGTCCTTGCCTCCTCGGAATGTTGATGCAAGTGCGCCGTGTGATGGTACATTTTTTAAAATCGTCCTCGATTATTATTATAATTATTATTGTGAGGACATTTCATAAATATCACTTAGTTTTTATTTATTTATATAATATTTAAATTTTAGATATATGAATTGTGTAATATGTATGTAAATCCCCTTATTATTATTATTTTAAGCATAAAAATGTGATTTATTTAAAATTAATAAATAAGATCATTTGAGTATTATAGGATTAATTATTATAGAATTGGTATGATAAAATTTTATTATTTTTTTTATTGATATGAGCATTAATTTTTTTTTATTTTTTTATGATTTAAAATTAGCAAGAAAGTTGTATAGTCAAATAAGTCTTTAAAAAAAATGATTTAGCTGCATTTATCAAAATAGATATATATAAATAAGGAGAGTTAATATTTATGCATAATAGATGATGAAAATAGGATATTCAAAATAATTATTTAAATTTTAGATATATGAATTGTGTAATATGTATGTAAATCCCCTTATTATTATTATTTTAAGCATAAAAATGTGATTTATTTAAAATTAATAAATAAGATCATTTGAGTATTATAGGATTAATTATTATAAAATTGGTATGATAAAATTTTATTATTTTTTTTATTGATATGAGCATTAATTTTTTTTATTTTTTTATGATTTAAAATTAGCAAGAAAGTTGTATAGTCAAATAAGTCTTTAAAAAAAAATGATTTAGCTGCATTTATCAAAATAGATATATATAAATAAGGAGAGTTAATATTTATGCATAATAAATGATGAAAATAGGATATTCAAAATAAATAAATAAATAAATAAATTCTATCATTTGAATTAATGTGATAAAAATGAGTATAAACTAAAGACATTTTAATATGAATAAAAGCCTTTTATTGGGGGAAGCTAGCATTTATATATTAACATCTTATATATAAAATGTTGAAGTGATGAAGAAGGCATAATGGCTTTGCAAAGTCTAGCTAGCTTCCTATAGTGGTTTATGCAATAATGAGCATAAAAACCTTAATGCATTCTACTTGATATCTATTTTTCCATTGATGACAAACATTAATCTATCACAAGTTTGGTCACTTTGATTTTTAAGAGCTAATAATTTTATGTCGGATGTGTAATCGGTCATAACTTCCATTGCAATATTGTGATGTTACTATGTGATATTCTGATAGGGATATCTTTGTAATGATAATTATAATTATTAGTTCAGGTCATGTTAGGGATTATTAGATAGTTAATAAGTAATAGTAGTATGGATAGAAATTATTATATGGGTATTTCTACATTTCATAACATAATATTCGATATTAATGAACTCCCTTTAATTTATTATTATTCTCCGCTTCAATCTTCTCAGTCTCCTAAATTCTAAAACTATTATCATCTTGAATAATCATTTATCGTATGAGTTTGTATCTTTAGTTCGTATCATACTCAATGATATCTATATTACAAATGTTAGTTTATTATTTTTTTACAAGTAATAGAATTATTGTATTACTCGATTAATCGTATCTTAGTATATTATTTTAATATTTCTTTATTATTCTCACTCTAACTTGAATACTTTTCATTATTATATCAATGCAATGCTATTTGAAACTTCTTAGTAAGAAAAACATAGGTAACATATATGTACACTATTAGCATTACACCTACTTGTATGACTTTAAAAATAGTGCAGATGGCAAAGTAGCATTAAGACAATCTAACCATAGAATTACAGTCATAAATGTTGTCCTTAACTATGTTATAAGCACAAGTTATAATACCTTTTTGTTAGAAAGGCTCCAAAGCTTTCTCTTTCTTTTCCATTGGTTGATTGAGGGGATTCCTCTCTTTGGCTAACAATAATATCCCTTCTCACACAAAAATAGAGTAGCTCAAAAGCATCCTTTTCTTTATTGTGTCACACAAGAGGCAAGTTTGTGATATTTAATTAATTGTTTGGCTCTTGTGAGATGCCTATGAAAAAAAATAAATTTTAAGGGGATAGAAATTTATTCTAAATATTTAATAAATAAAAGTGAGAAATGGTTAATCATAAATAGATCTAATTTTACATAAAAAGTCATGAAATGTTCAACATAAATCACAAACAAGTCAAAATCAAACCACTGAGATCTGCTCTTAAGAGCTATGAGTATATCAATTAAGTTAGAGACATTGGTGCTTCAAGTAAAATATTCTTAATTGAGCTTGAATATTGGTTTCAGCTAAATTCACAAAAATGTCCATCTTTTTAAGATGAATATAATTTACATTTTTTAGTTGATATAAGTGAAGGTTTGTTTTGGCAAATGAAACTTAAATTATATCGGATATTTTAAAAAAATAGTAGAGATTATCCCACATTTCTTCACTAAAGTTTAATTTGAGGGAATAATTTTATGATCATATAAAGTCCATGGTCCCAACTTAGCTTTAATAAGTGAGAATGAAGCAAAAAACTTAAGACAATATTTTGATGTGATTTTGGTCAGGATGATTTTTGTAGCTTTTATATTAGCTTGGAGATGAGTACTGAAATACATAACTAATCGATTAAAATTTGTATTTCACTCATCTCAAAGTTAATTCAAAGACTATGAAATTCATTCTAATCAAAAATTTATTAGAAAGTATACATTAACCTAATTTTTTCCAATAAAGTGAATTTTTTACATGTCGTAAATTAAAATGACAAACTCTCATGATTTTCAGTCTTCCATTATGGTTGAACAAGTTTGTGAAGATAAAATTGATATATATTTTCTTTGGAGGGTTCTATAGATATTTATGGTTTATGAGACATGAATAATGTAAAATTTTCCCAATGTAAGAGAAACAGTTGATTAAGTGAAAATTTCTAAGTGAGAAGAGATTTATTAATGAAAAATAGAGTTTTTAATTTATATTTAGCTTTGAGAAATAAAACTTATTTGATTTCACTCATATTCATAATATATTTTAAGTGATATTTTTTCATTTATTTTGAATGTGGAAATAATTTTTTTAAAGTTGAGAGATTTTAATTATGTTTGTAGAATTGAAATATATATAATTTTTTAGTGGT